CCAGACATTACGTTGACGCTCACGTCATACACTACTTATAAGTAGCTCGCTCCACAATACTACCTGCCTTATTCTATACATCAACCTCTATATATCTAATAGGTCAACTGAATTTGAGTTGTGTTGATTTTTTTAACCAGTCCGTCATTACTTGGTGCATTTAAATATGAATCAGTAAAAGATCTGATTGTTTTTAATGAAATTACAGTAATTAATTTTTTAATTAATTAATATTTTTTAGTACATTATCTAATATTAGTGGAAATACAAATAATGAAGAGGCAGAATGTTTAACAGGTTAGTGCATTATATGTGTGTGTGAGTAGTTGTTTGCTTTTTTGCTTATAACTTTTTATGATTGAAATCATGATTCGATCAATAATGTTAGACCGCTATTAGAAAATCTGAACACAGTGGATGGCCGTCTCGTCCTGGTATGGGATTTATCTGTGACAATGCGCATCCACAACTCCTACACCTTGCAGGATTCGAACCTAGGACCGTCGGTATTAGGCGCGAATGCCTAACTTCTCGACCAATGGGCCGGCATCATAACGGTGTTAATGTCTGACCTCGATCAATTCACGGAGTTGTGCAACCTCATACATTGTCTACGGTAGTTACTTACTGTCTACACCCGAACAGGTTGGACTTCTCTGGTCACGACTTTACACTAGTGTTCTAATTAGTTATACTACAGATTTTATTAATTTGTTTAATTACATAACATTATTGATTAATTACTGATCACTAATGTTCGCGGTAATTTTGAATGTATTTTATTGAGTTGTGAGACTCATCAGCAGTGCACAGTGACGACTCTCACTGCTCACAGGAATCGAACCGAGTAGGTCTTGCACGCGAACACCTTACTTCTAGACCACTGAGCCGACATTCATAGGTGTTTATGCCCAACTGTGATCAATCTAAGGTCTCGCACAACCTTTTTATAAGCCTTTTTTAAATATTTATATAAAATCAGTAAACTTTTGAGTGTGATTTTTCGATTTTCTGTTGATTGAATTATTTACACATTTTGATTTGGTATTCGTCGCCATTAGAGTTTTATTTTGTTATAATTAGTCGGTTAAATCAATCAATGTTCAATGATTTTAATTCATAGTTGAGGAGGAAGAATCGTATTTATTCTAGATTTTTTGCTAATTGATATTCTTGAAACCATGAATCGATCAATGTTATTAGACCACCATAAGAAACTTGGAATAACTGGACAGCCGTGTCGTCCTGGTATGGGACTCCTCATCAGCAGTGCGCACCCACGACTCCTAAACCTCGCAAGATTCGAACCCAGGACCTTCGGTATTGTGCGCGAAAGCCCTAACCTTAGACCACTGAGCCGGTATCCAACGGTGTTAATGTCTAACTTGATGGATGCGCACTGCTGATGAGTAGTCCCATATCAGGACTTGACGGCTGTCCAGTGCTTCCAGGTTTCTATAATGGTGGTCTAATAACATTGATCGATTCATGGTTTCAAAAATGTGTAACTTAACAACAATCTTCACAACAACCCCGTAATGTAATTGACATTCAATTAACGTGAGATTTGTGCAACCACTGGAGGGAACTACCGGCAGATGAATGATCCCTCTGTGAAACTCAGTTTTTGTTCAATCATACATGTCATAAATGATTTATAGATTAATATTAGTTTGTCAAAATAATAATAATCATGCACTTTCATTGTAAAAAGCTATCTATTCTTTCTATTTAATTTACAAAGTTGATAGATAGATAGATAGATAGATAGATATGAAGAAAGTACGATTTATTTTGTCAACAACAACAACAACAAAAAAATAAAATCAATACCTAATCAAATTAATAGTAAAAAAATAAAATTCAACTAAATTTTGTTCATTGAAAAGAATTTTTACACAATCAAACCTACAAAAAAAAATCATGTGAACTCAATAGAGAGTTTTATAATAATTATTATGCAATAATAGATAACATTAATGAAAATGAAATTTTTTTTTGTTAAGCATTGCATAAGTTATCTGAGCTCAATAGCAGCAGCAGCAGCTCAATGAATAATGAAAAGGGCATTTAGTCAAAGGGGATGGTACTACTGGATTTGAGACTTGAAAGTGAAAAAAACATTAAAAACACTGGGATGCAGTTGTTACATTTAGATGATAAACACAATCCCAAACGAAACAAAACAAGCCGCTTGGATAATGTTATCATCTGTGAATAACTTGATCCCGTTGATACCTTATTGATTATTTGCTTACTTACGCCAGTTACCCCCAATGGAACATAGGCCACTTCAGGTAGTTAAATAGTATCAGGATTACCAAGACATCGAATGTCTCGTATGACTAATTCCTTTATGAATGTCACATATGTCCCATATGGATGCGAAACATGGCCGTTAAGAGTAGAAGATGTTTGTAGGTTACTAGTATTCGATCATAGATGTCTCCGATGCATCGCTCGTATATCGTGGGACAACCGAATAAGCAATACTGTCGTTAGGAAACGAGTACTAGGTAGGGATGGCAGATCAATCGATGAAGTGGTGAAACTTCATCAGTTGAGGTGGTTGGGACATGTGTTACGAATGCCTAACCACCAACTGCCGCGACGAGCTATGTTTTGTGGTGTAGGAGTAGGTTGGAAGAAAGTTATGGGTGGCCAGACCAAAACATGGCAGAAATGCATGAAGTCACTGACAAGTGGACTGAGTCATGTTGGTAGATGTAGGCTACCTGGTTGGGGTCCGTGAGACGAAAGTCACCAATGGTTAGAGACCTTGAACGACATGGCTCAAAATCGTTTGGAATGGCGCAAGTGCATCCATTTGTTGTGCTCTCACAAATCCTAATCTTATGGATTCTTCAGCACCTCTACGTTTGTCTTTCTAACCTTATCTCACTAAATTATACTTCTTGAATAATATCTTCAAACCCTAGTCTTCTTCATTACCATTAATGCCTCTAATATCTCTATCACTATGAGTTTTGATTTGACATTTGCGTCCCTGTGTTTATATGGTATGGCAACCTGAACTTATGTACATACGTACGAAGTTCTACGTTGCAACTGACTGACTGACTGATGTCACAATTTTTTAACTACTTTACTTATACCTCTTACCCCTAGTCGGGCATAGGCCGCCGACCAGCATTCCTCAAACCGCTCTGTCCTAGGCCTACTATTCCATTTCTGTCCAATTGCTATTCATTGTTTCCATATCTGCTTTTAATTCTAGACTTTATGTGTTCTTCCTCTTTTCCTTTGGGCCTTGAGGATCCTAAGTTAGGGCTTGTCTTGTGATTTAGTTGGATGATTTCCTTAATGTGTGTTTTATCCGCCTCTAGGGCTTTTTCCTGATATCTGGTTTGTTCTATTCCACAGCAAGTTGTTGCTGATGGTGTCTGGCCAAAGGATCCGAAGTATTTTGTCTGGACAACTGTTTAACAAATATCTGCATCTTCTGAATGATGGCTTTTGTGGTTCTCCAATTTTTGTATTTGTACTGAAAATTCTGGCTTTGGTGTTGGTTGATAGTTGTTTTTAGTCTCAAACGTTCTTTAATCGTATGCTATTGGATTTGAAGTGACAATTTGATCTTTCTGTGCTAATTTGGTATGACAACTTGAACTTATGTTCGTAAATACGAAGTTTTACTTTGTAGCTGAATCACTGACTGACATGATAAATGATTCACTTTTAAAGTTGTTTGTTTTTGAAACAGCGCATATATTCAGCAGATAATTTCAACTCTCATGTTATTAAATGATAAAATTTACTATATTATCTTTTAATAACTGCATTGGCAGTTCTCAGCGATATATATAACAAATGTATAAATTTGGAAGTAAGTTACTTCCCGATCTCTTTTATTCCTTAAGATGATATCGATGTGTGATGGAGAAAAAAGATTGATCGATTCATGTTTTCAAAATTGTATAACTTAACAATCTTCACAACCCCGTAATGCAAATTACCTATGCTCAGTAGTAGTGACTCGCTTCGTGAGGAATCTTCTCCGAGTTCTAGTGGGAAGTCGTGACCAGTGAAGTTCACCTGTTCGAGTGTACACAGCAACTACCAAAAACTGTGTATGAGGTCGCGCAACTCCGTGAATCGGTCAGAATTAGACATTAACACCATTAGATACCGGCTCAGTGGTCCAGAGGTTAGGCGTTCTCGCGCAAGACCGAAGGTCCTGGGTTCGAATCCTGCGGGGTGCAGGAGTCGTGGATGCGCACTGCTGACGAGTCACATACCAGGACTTGACGGCCGTCTAGTGGTGGTGGTCTAACATTGATCGATTCACGGTTTCAAAAATGTGTAACTTACCAATCTTCACAACCCCATAATGAAAAAAAAGAGACAACTCTCTTCAAATTGAACATTTACACATACTCTTGAACAAATTGATTTCGTTTTAATGCAGTCAGTCATTAATCTTTGGTAAAAATAAAATCAAAGTAAATTAAATAGAATTTTGTTCATATCGATCGATTATTATAAATGAAAAATTATTGAACCATTTCAAACAACTTCGAATTATTGATTATCATCCGGTTTTTTTATTACCAGAGAAGATTTGTGAAGATTATTAATGCCAAATTAACTTTAATCATGGATTGATGTTGATTCAACGGCCACTATGCCTCTGACACTTTCGCCTACTTAACCTGTGATAATAAGTTTCTTTAGAAGTGCACATTCATAGCCATGGGAATTTGTTGTTGAGAACAACTGATTTACCAACAAAAAAAAATTATCTTTCTTTCTAATTAGAATCAACTCTTGACATTTCTTTTAGTGGACTACTGTTTCATATTTCAACATTATTGAATTACACTGATCATCACTTCTGATTGAAACTCCAGAAATTACCTCTAGAAATCAGTCAGTTTTAGTAAGGTCATAAAGTCATCCTAAGGTATTCCCTTATACTAGGGGACTATACATTTTTGTGGTCTCTTCTCAGATACCGTAAGAATTGATGAGCATCGTCAGAGTGTCATTACGTTATTATTTATCCTATCTAATTATCTGGTAAATATGTCCTATTGATATCGATAAACACCTAACCACTTAGTGGCTTATTCCATATGCTTCGTAAGAGGAAAGAGTACGATTTGTAGGCTGTGTTCATTCTAGTTTGATTCTAGTTAGAGTGTAGTGAAGGAAAACACAGGTGAGGGCAACCGAATTGTATTTAATGAAAATTACAGAGTTACTCAGTAAAATCGGAAAACCATATCGTAAATCGTTAATTTGCAAATCTTCAATCCATCATCAATCCATTGTCATTGACATTTCACTCACTATTCATGCGTTTCATACAAATTCCATTGTGTTCCCACTCTTCTTCCTTTCTCTTGATCTTCCCCCATCTTCTGCTGCCAGACATTACGCTGACATACGCGTCATATACTACTTATAAGTAGCGCGCACCACACTCGTCCCCCCCTTTAATAAGCTGTCGTCGTAGTCTTTCTGATCGCCGTACCGCTGTCTTCTTTGGTGCTTTCCGTGACTCACACACTTGATAATCTTGAAACCACCTCTGCAGTTAACTGGCATTTACACACTTCTGATTGTCTTCTCTCCGTATCGTGTACACCGCGCCGCGTCTCTCCGCGATAACGTACGTTCCTTCCCACTTTAAGACCAGCTTTCCCCACCCTGATCCCCCTGCTATGCTACTTTACTAGGTCCCTCACTGCAAAAGGTTTCCACGTTCTCCTCTGTTGTTCTGCCTTCTTTATGTCTGATATTTGCTTCTTTCCCACGTTCCTGATTGCTTCCCTCCTCTCTTTTCTGAACCTTGTTGTTGTCCATTTCTGTTGTTGTGGCCAGGTCTTATTGTGCAATGGAAGTCTCGGTTGTCTGCCATACATGAGCGTGAGGGGTGATTTCTTGGTTGTAGCTTGTATGGAGTAACGATGCGCCAACAAAATCAATGGTAACTCTTTCTCCCAATCTCCTCCTTTAGATGCTAACCATTCCTTTGATGTCCGGTTGTTTCTCTCTGTAAGCCCGTTTGTCTGAGGATGATAGGGTGTGGTTCGTATCCTCTTGATGCCAAACTGTTTTAGACGGTCTTTAAACTCGTCACTTTCAAAACAGGGACCCTGGTCAGTTAATATCATTTTTGGTATTCCGTGGAACGCTACAATATACCGGATCACCACGTCGGTCACTGTTCTTGCCCGCTGGTCTGCAGTGGGTACAGCAAGAGTATTAATAAAATCCGGGGAAAAATTGGGCAACGATATTTCTTTGGCATGCGACATCCTAGCAATGCGCACAGATTATATTACCGAAGCTGTAGTTAAAACCTTTAGGTCTCACGACGAATGCCTGACTATTAAAATAACTGTGAATTGATATCTGGATGAAGCACTGGATACCATCCTGGTCCTGATATGAGACTCATCGGCGGTGCCTATCCATGGCTCTTTCTACTTGCAGGATTTGAACTCAGGACCTTCGGTATTACGCGTGAACACACCTAACCTTTGGACCACTGTACCGATTGATATCTAGTGATACAATTTCATGTCCAATGAATCTGAAATGCAATGCAAAAAACCAATCTCATTAGTGAAAACTGCCTTACTCTCAAATGATTTGGACTTCACCAATCCTATTGTCAATGAATAGATAGCACATTGAAAATCTTAAAGAATTTCAGAAACTGACATTTTACTCAAATCAATAATACATTTAAAACAAGTCATTGGTTGAGAATCACAATTAGAGAGAGAATTTAAGGTGAAAACTAGTATAGTTTTTTTTATTTAGAAACAAGGTTAACTGAAAGGTTATTATATCAATACTTCTTTGGTTTAATTAGATATCATTGAAACCAAGGCATCAGTAGACAACTAGTTTTTATTTTTTAGTATGGAACACCTCATTGATGCATCACCTACGATACTGAACGATTATCCTTCTCTTTTGCAAGATAATTTTCATTCAAAGCTTAAGAGCTCATTAAATTAGACTGCATGATTGATTCTGCGTTTGATACTCAGTGCAGCTATCATGTCCAAACGGTTGATCAGTCATAGTGGAATGATATGTCTATCCAATTTATTCCTAGTTTTAGGAATAGCTAGGGATGCTACCCCTAACTCAGGTTTCATATGGTCGAAAAATGAAAATTTCGGAAACGCGAAATAATCATTACCCGACATGAGACAAAGGGTAATAGAAGTGTTTGGGCCTATTTGCATCAAGCTCGGCTGCCTCTTCTACTATCCTACGCCATATATGTATACACCATATGCTATACTGCTATATAGAGCTGGAGGTCTCCTATGAGACTAGAGGTTCGCTGTGAATATTGTGGATGGCTTGGCTTTGCTTTGGTAAGCATTGTTCACAGTCCATATACAAAAATTGGTTAGCAGGGTGACCGATTTCATTGATATAGGTGGTTGTTTTGAGACATTCCTTAGGGCCATTGTCATTAGGGTACTGTATAACATATCACCATTACTAATAATAATGAGTCTGACAGTTATGTAAGCGGGATGGGTCGAAATGGCCTGTTCATGCGGTGCATATTGATTGACGCGATCATTGATCGTAAATATATATATATATATACCATTGTGTGTATATGAAATGGTGTGAATGGTCCACCAGGGTATCAGGTACCTGTGTGGTTGCAACACAGGATTGAGCCGAACTGTTCATGTAGTAATTAATGGTAAAACGTGTCCAGCCTGTTTGGTTCTCCTGAAAACCAATGTAAAATTGCCCTAGACACTACAAGGTAAATTTATATAATTGAAAATTTTATAAATTTAGGAATAGCTTCCCAATTTATGTCAGTTAGTAACGAACAAACTACCCATAGATAAGGTTTACTTAAATAATTCTAAACAAGATTTCTAATGTTGTTTTCAATAGATATCACAAACTTAAGATAAAGCACCTGATTTTATTTCGACATTTTTTAACGGTTATCAATGAACATCCAAACATTTACTAGTATTATTCTTCATTAGTTATTACAAATTACTTGGAGTAAACAAATATGTTCAAATATGGGACTCCTCAGCAGTGCGCTTCCATGACTCCTGTACCCCGCAGGATTCAAATCCAGGACCTTCAGCATTGTGCGCGAACGCCCTAACCGTTAGACCACTGAGCCGGTATCTAACAGTGTTAATGTCTAACTTGATCAAATTGACGGAGTTGCGCAACCTCATACACAGTCTTCGGTAGTAGTTACTGTGTACACTCTAACAGGTTGAACCCCACTGGTCACGACTTCCCACTAGAACTCGGAGAAGATTCCTCACGAAGCTAGTCACTAGTGAGCACAGGTAATTTGCATTGCGGGGTAGTGAAGATTGTTAAGTTACACATTTTTGAAACCATGAATCGATCAATCTTTTTTTCCATCACACATCGATATCATCTTAAGGAATAAGAGATCGGGAAGTAACTTACAAAGTTATACATTTGTTATATATATCACTTTTGAAACCATGAACCGATCAATGTTAGACTGCCATATGAGGTTGCGCAACTCCGTGAATTTGATCAAGTTAGACATTAACACCGTTAGATACCGGCTCAGTGGTCTATCGGTTAGGGCTTTCGCGCACAATGCCGAAAGTCCTGGATTCGAATCTTGCGGGGTGCAGGAGTCGTGGATGCGCACTGCTGAGAAGTCCCATATCAGGACGAAACGGCCTTCCAGTGCTTCCAGGTTTCTAATGGTGGTCTAATAACATTAATCGATTCATGGTTTCAAAAAATGTGTAACTTAACAATCTTCACAACCCCGTAATGCAAATAGGTTCAAAGTCAAATGTTAGTTTATCAATTAAAGTATCTAACTTATCAACCAAACCTATTTGAATCTATTTTTGGTTCAATTTTCGGTAGTCTGTAAGATTCGATCGATCCTTAAGTACAAACTATATGGGATAAAGTTTAATTCATAAACATTTAATTGATACATGAATTAGTAACACATGAACTATTATGATTATATAACTAACTCTCTGTTCACATTGCAAGCACACTTTGATAATGACTGCTGACTATTATATCAACAACCATTAATTGTTTGTTTGTAACACTTGTTTTATATAATGAGTGATTTTTTTCAAAGCATATAAATAAAAGTCATTGTGTAAATAAAAGTGCATTACAAGGGTTGTGAAGATTGTTAAGTTACACATTTTTTTTTGAAACCATGAATCGATCAATGATTGTTAGACCACCATTATAGAAACCTGGAAACACGCACAATACCGAAGGTCCTGGGTTCGAATTTGGCGGGGTGCAGGAATCGTGTATGCGCACTGCCACTGAGGTTGGAAGAAAGTTAGGGGCGGCCAAACCAAAACATGGCACAAATCCATCAAGTCACTGACAACTGGATTGAGTCATGTCGGTAGGTGTTGACTACCTGGTTGGGGTCCGCGAGATGATAATAATCTATGGTTAGAGACCTTGAATGACATGGCTCAAGACCGTTTGGAATGGCGCCGGTGCATTTATTCTTTGTGTTCTCTCAAATCCTAATCTTCTGTATTCTTCAACACCTCTAGTTTCGACTCTCTAAACTTTTCTCACTGAATCATACTTCTTGAATAATATCTTCTAATCCTAACCTCTCCGATTACTTCTAATACCTTTACTACCTATTCTACTATTGGATTTGAATTGACAATTATTTCTGTGTGCTGATGTGGTATGGCAACATGAACTGATGTACTTACGTACAAAGTTCTACGTTGCATCTGACTGACTGACTGACTGCCACTGAGGAGTCCCATACCAGGAAGAAACGGACGTCTTTCAGTGCTTCTTCCAGGTTTCTAATAGTGATGGTCTAATAACATTGATCGATTTATGGTTTCAAAAAATGTGCAAATAAAAGTCTCATTAATCATTCATTACAATTTCATACACTTAATACCATACACTCTTTTCTTTGATATCCTTTATTATTTAAACAGATAGAATTGTTTATCAATTATCAAATTCTAAGTATATTGAACAAGGATGGACTACTGTTAATCAGGTACAATGTTTGGACGATCATAATAATAATGACAACTTATTATTGATGAATGATGAAATCCAATCTCGATATATCAACTCAATTGATGATATACTACAATTGGATTTTATACAACATGAATACCCGAATGGTGAAGTATTTTTACGAAAGTATAACGATAATACTGGTGTAATATTGTATCCTTTTATTTGAAAGTGTTTAAAAGCCAAACGAAAGTAATAACTGTCGATAATTTCTTCAATTTATAATGTAACATTGATTAGTTCGAAGGCAGGATAAAATTATGATAACTTCAAGAATATACTACTGAAATTGTATAACTTTTTAAATGGTTATAACAAATTTTTGATCTATTTAGGTAATCAGGCTATGATTACAATGTGGAGTTTTAGAGTTAAGGTTTTGAGTTTGCATTCAAACTATACCTAAACTACTATCTTAGATTGTGAACTATGACTCCTAGTATGAGCACTAATATGATGAACACATATGGCTTGTCGTAGCTTTTGGATAAAACTCATGATACTCTTCTACCCGAGTGGTTATTCACCCGTCTTTCGACCTTGCCAATTATTCACTTATATCTTGACAGTTTTTATTTGAGTCTATGTGTACACTGCTCACTTTGTTTATTACATATTTGACTATAAATACTTGCCACGGTTCATCACACTGAGTTGGCTCACTCGTCTACACTCCATTTCGCTTCGCTTTGCTTGTACGCTGTCTGCGTGAACGACTGCTTGAAAAATAAAAACTCATCCAACCGAATCCGTTGTTGGCTACGTACTACTGCCGTCACGCAAACGTGATTCGCCCAGGTATGATATACGGAAACTGAAGAGAAGATTTGTTTCATCACATACTCGAACGTTCGTACAAACTGGAGTGCGATCATAAACCACTACTAAAGTGGTGAGCACTACTTTGAATTCAACGCAGGCACAAAAAACTTTTAGATCTAAAGCCTAATTGCAAGTTGCTACTTCCATCACGCTGAACATAATTATTTGTTAAAATTTTTATAAACATCGTAATACATAATGAATAATTCACTGAATTAAACATGAATGCTTTCTAGTTTAAATAATCATTCAGTCAGATGCAACGTAGAACTTCGTACGTATGTACATCAGTTCATGTTGCCATACCACATTAGCACACAGATGTAATTGTCAATTCAAATCCAATAGTAGAAGAGGTAGTTAAGGTATTAGAAGTAATCGGAGAGGTTAGGATTAGAAGATATTATTCAAGAAGTGTGATTCAGTGAGATAAGTTTAGAAAGTAAAAACTAGAGGTGTTGAAGAACCCAGAAGATTAGGATTTGAGAGAACACAAAGAATAAATGCACCGGCGCCATCGCAAACGATTTTGAGCCATGTCATTCAAGGTCTCTAACCATCGATTATTATCATCTCGCGGACCCCAACCAGGTAGTCGACAACTACCAACATGACTCAGTCCACTTGTCAGTGACTTCATGGATTTCTGCCTTGTTTTGGTTTGGCCGCCCCTAACTTTCTTCCAACCTACTCCTACACCACAAAACAAAGCTCGTCGAGGCAGTCGGTGTTTAGGCATACGCAGCATATGTCCCTGCCACCTTAACTGATAAATTTTCATTACTTCATCTATTGATCCGCCATTCTTACCCAGCACCCGTTTCCTAATAACAGCGTTGCTCAATCGGGTGTCCCGGGATATACGAGCAATCCTTCGAGTTTAAATCATGCTTCTATTGTCACATGGATTTCGTATAAATTTTTAGTATTACACGTCATTGTGACAGAATTCATAAAATATTTTTCGCTGAAGGCAACTGATCACTGAAACAATCAGATTAGATTTCATACTCTGATTAAAATTCATTCATATTTCCAGTTTAGAAGGAACTGATACTACTTTTTTGGAAATTTAAAAACTCGCTTCACTAATTAATAAATAAATCATGCAATAGCAAAGGATACAAGAAATACAATCCATAATCTGGTCCATTCCTATTCAGACTTGTCACTGGTACTCCTTCACGGTTGATACTTCCATCGTCTAACTTTTCAGTAGTTGATCTTCTATGAAGAGATTCACTTGTTCAGTTAGAATTGCTAATGACATAGTTTCTATATGATGAAGACGCTTCAGTTCGCTCCGTCCTAATCCATGGGTGTGAAACATGGCCAATTAGAGTAGACGATAATCGTAGGTTACTAGTGTTCGATCATTGGCGTCTTACAAATGTTCCTCATATAACCTAGAACAATCAAGTAGGCACTGTTGTTGTTAGGAGATGAATACTAGGTAAGAATAGCGAATCGATAGATGAAGTGTTGAAACTTCATCAGTCGAGGCGGTTGAGACATGTCTTACAAATGCCAAACCACCGACTACCTGGCTGGGGTCAGCCAGACAACAGAAACCGACTGTTGGAGACCTTGAATAACATAGCTGAAAATCGTTTGCAACAGAACAGATGCATCCATTCTTCGTCTTCTCTCGAATACTAATTTTCTGAATTCCTTATGACCATTTTTTTCTCTTTTTAAATTTACATTTCACTGGATCCATACTTCTTGAGCAATATCTTCGAACTTTAATCTTCTTCACTACCTCTAATACTTACTTCTAGTACCTCTACTACTACTATAGAATTTGAATTGACAATTCGATCTCTCTGTGCTAATGTGGTAAGACTACTTTGAACTGATGTACATACGTACCGAATTCTACAGTGTAACTGACTGACTGATTTACTTTAATTATTATTCGGATATTTACAAAACATTATTCATCATCATAAATAAAGTAAACAATGAGAAATTCTTTTCCATACTTTGTTCTTTGTATTAATTAATCGAAGAATTGGAATGGTTATACACCAATCAAGAAGTATGTGCATATATGTTAATTTCAATAAAATTTACAAATCAAGGTTATTACATTTTACGCGAATTCAGTACTGAACAGATCACTGTGGTGGTGTTTGGTTCTCTGAGCTGGATGTTTCAGTTGTGGAGCTTTCATTGTACTTCTGACCTACAGCAGCATCAGCAGCACAAACTTCAAATAGAAGTGAAGCATTCGAGTTTCTCCACGTTTGACCTGTTTATTGATTGCTGATGACAAACACATACTGACATTGACCCAATTAATCAACCAATCAGAAAAATCATAGATGACACAGAATCAAGAGACAGATCAAAAGGGGGATACAATCAAAACAAAGGTGCAAACAACTGACAGGTTTAAGGTCAACAACAACCAATCAAGATCGAGGTCAACAGGTCAAACGTGGAGAAATTCGAATGCTTCACTTCTATCTGAAGTTTGTGCTGATGATGATGTTGTTCAGTCGAAGAACAATGAAAGCTCCACAACTAAAACATCCAGCTCAAAGAACCAAACACTACCACCACCACAATCATCCACCTGAGCTACAAATCTTCTCCACTACAGATCATTCTTTCTTTTCATCTATTGTCATATGTGGTTTTATGAATTTAGTCTGTCAGTAACATATTTTTACAACTTCAAATAAACTGACTGATACAATGCTGTTATGGGATCGATAGTGGATTGATCAAAGTTAGGTACTTAACACCATTAGAAATCTTTTCGGCGGTCCTAGGCTTAGGCATTCACGCGCAAGACTGAAAAACCTAGGATCAAATCATGTGTGTTATAATAGTTGTTGATGCCCACTGCTGATGAGTCTCATCATTATTTTATTGAAAATTTTTATTCAATACATTTTTTTCTCAAAGTTTACTGACATTATATATTATTGTTAACTAGTAAACCATTTTCTAAAAGATTTTTTATTATCTATTAGGAACTCATTAAAATGATGAAACAATTTTTTCGCTAGGTATAATAAACCGCCTGTAGATCCTTCTGCGCTACTGCCGGTCCAAAGCCTGGATAAAGGAGGCAAGTAGAGATATGGTTTGGCGACTCCATCCCAGAAAAAAACTAACTTGCCAAAAAAACGCTTAAAAGAAAAAATGATTCAAACTATATAAAATTCTTGTCTGGGAGTTAGAAGGTCCTCATTTAGAAAAATTATGATGTTTCATGATGAAAGCCGAGTTCCTTAGGAAGTTATGGGGCCGATGCCCCTTCTGACAACTAGAACCGTTCCACGGTGTGGGCAGCGGGGACGTTACATCCGCTCTCATACCCATAAAACCACACGAGACCTAATTGGTCACAATCAAATCCTTTCTACACCTCCTAATAACTCTCTTATCTCCTCTACCAATGTTCCCTTCGATCGTTTATCACCTCGCGCCACGTCTCTTGAAACCACGTACTGAATTACGTATTGGAGTTTTTAATGTTCACATCCTATGCTAAATAAGGCAACAGGCTTCAATATTTTTGCGAGATGATAATAATTGATGCTTAGAGATCGTGAATGACGTAACTCAAAATCGTTTACAATGGTGCAGGTGCATCCACTCTTTGTGTTCTCTCAAATCCTAACCTTCTGAATTCCCTATAATCTATATCTTTCGCCTTCTAAATTAATCTCACTGAATTATACTTTTCGAATGATATCTTTGCTCTCTAATCTTCTCCATTATTGCTAATACTTCTACTATCGCTACTACTATTGGATTTGAACTGACAGTTGCCTCGCTGTGCTAATATAGTATGGCAACCTGAACTGATGTACTTACGTACGAAGTTCTACGTTGTATCTGTCTGTCTGTCTGTCTGTCTTATTCGGATATTAACAAACATTATTCATCATCATAAATAAGGTAAACAATGAGAAATTCTCTTCCATACTTTTAACCGTTTACACTGATGCAAGTGCATTGATTCTTAGTGTTCTGTCAAATTCCAATCTTTTGAATTCCTCATCACCTCTATCTTTTTTCTTTTTAAGTTTATTTCACTAGATTCTACTTCTTTAATAATATCTTCTCATCCTAACCTCTCCGATTACTTCTAATACCCTTACTAACTCTTCTACTATTGGATTTGAATTGACAACAACATCTCTGTGCTGATATGGTATAGCGACATGAACTGATGTACTTACGTACGAAGTTCTACGCTGCAACTGACTGACTTTCTAAACTTTTCTCATTGAATCATACTTCTTGAATAATATCTTCTAATCCTAACCTCTCTGATTACTTCTAATACCTTTACTACCTCTACCACTATTGGATTTGAATTGAAGATTACATCTCTGTGTTGATGTGGTATGGCAACATGAACTGATGTACTTACGTACGTACGAAGTTCTACGTTGCATCTGACTGACTGACTGACTGACTTTACTACTGTGGGATTTGAATCGACAATTACATCTCTGTGCTAATGTCGAATGGCAACCAGAACTGACGTACGTAAGTACGTACGTACGAATTTCTACATTGCTATTGATCGATTGATTGATTGAGGTAGAATAATTTATATTTCATAGACAATAATCAAAAAAAATATTTAATGAAATAAGTCTTCTATCAATTCCAATGCAAAATTCATTAATTCATCTGTGGCCACAAAAACAAAACAAGCAGAGACAATTAAAACAACACCGACTATAAGAATAAAGTTGAAACAAAGAACACAGTGAAAAGTTATATTACAAATAGAAAGAGTGAGTGCAATGGTGCTATCTGTGCCACCACTATGTCACCACATATCTAAGTTATTTTTTTACAAAACAAAACAACATTAAAAAAAACAACCAAGAAGGTAACTTTACAATCTACACAATCGATTAGCAGCTAATTACCGTCGTAATCATGTTGAAGCATTTTTAACAGAAATCAAATTTCTTACTTATATAACAGAATGTGCGTTATTTTTTTTTCTCTGTCAATACAAAGCACTTTGAAACAAATAATAATCATAATTTTTGTTTTCATATACACCTATGCATGTCAGTGTTGTTTAGTTGAACTTTTACAAAATGAAGACATTTGATTAGGCCTAAGTATTGTGTCTAGTTTCAATTCGTTTCTTTTTGTATTGTATATTGTCAATTAGAATTAGAGATGTAGTGAAGGAGAACACAGGTGAGGGCAACCGAATTGTATTTAGTCGCAAATTACAGAGTTTTACTCAGTAAAATCGGCGTTAATTTGCAAATCTTCAATCAATCATCAATCTATTGTCTGACATTTCACTGACTATTCATGCATTGCATACAAATTCCATTGTATTCCCACTCTTCTTCCTTTCTCTTGATCTTCCTCCATATTCTACTGCCAGACATAACGTTTACACTCACGTCATATACTACTTATAAGTAGCGCGCACCACATAGAGATTAGCGTTTGCTGCACATTGAAATCGTCAATCAATCATTGTTAGACCACCATTACAGAAACCTGGATGAACTGGACGGCCGTCAAGTCCTGATATGGGACTTATCAGTGGCAGTGCGCATCCGCGACTCCTGCACCTCGCAGGATTCGAACTCATGACCTTTGGTATTGTGCGCGAAAGCCTAACCTCGTAACCACTGGACCGGCATCCAACTCTGATTGATCAAGGGATTTTGTGCGACCTCACCCATTTACCTTTGGTAGTTAATTACTGCCTACACCCGACAGGATTGAACTCCATTGGTCATGTCTTCTCACTAGAACTCCAAGAATTTCCTTACGAAGCTAGTCACTAGTGAGCACATATTACATACGATATTTTCAATTAGAATTATGGAGATTAGCGTTTTTACATATTAGAAATCATCAATCAATCATTGGTTATTTCTCTTCAGATTTCCTATTGTATTTATGGTATGATTAGAATTACTAATGATTCCCACTTTCACATTGAATTGAAACTTGTATCAGGTCTATGATAGAATCTGATGCTAGTGCACTTTCCTTGTTAAAAGAAAATGTAGTTTTTCTACCAAAAAAAGTTTATTTGACTGGTATCAGTTTCATATCTACACTTCCGTTTAGTTTATTATTGATCACAATCACTCATTATCGATATTTCACACTGACAACATTTCTAATTACTATAAAGATAATTCAGTTTGTTAAAATTGTAATCAAACTTTCTGAATGAATACTAAACTAGCACGAAACTCTGAGTTCATAGGTTTATATCACTATCGTTCAACTACTGAACCTTGAACGAAAATTGTTTAGATTTTTTGGTCAACTCGATAAATCGAATTCGTTTTATTTTGACTGAAATTTGATCAGTCTTGGTTAGCGTATGCGTGCATTGCCTCGATATAACCATTATGATACAATTTTATATTGAATAGGTAATATCTAAGATTGGAATCCAGCTGACGAGTGCCAAATTGGACGAAACGCGCAGAATCCTAGACTTCACTGCTAGTCACATCTTATCTCTTCTATATAAACTTGTGTCCTAATGGTTATATCGAGGCATTGTGCACATGCCAACCAAGACTGATCAACTTTCAGTCAAAATATCGACAATGGAATTATCCAAACCGTTTCAAATTGAATGAAATCTCATATCTGTTGCGTAAGTGAAAGGCTATCTGGACTCAGTAGCTTAACTACTAAATAGATAATGTAATCGTATGTGAAGCAAAAGGTACTGGGTTTGAGCCTCGGAGTGAGCATCAACTCGAAGACGCAGATACACTCAATTGATGAGCCACAACAAATAAGACGAAACATACTGTCTAACTGCAAGCCACATTCTATCTATTCTCGATAAACAAAAAGTTGGTTGACATCGCGTTTTTATTTTAGGTGTAAGTAACATGTAAATGGTAGAATTATTATTAACTCGTAGATATAAAAAACTGCACTCAATATGTCATGTTTATGGCTTATTAGGCAAGTTGATAGCGGGTGCTTTTAGAGGCATGTGCAATTTCCTAAAGGAAGAATACATCTTCAGGTACCTAACGAACAAACTTTATTAGCAATGATCTTAATAGCCTGCTAGCATGATCATGAAGTCCAAGTAGTCAGTCTGAATTCAGTTACACAGAGTCTATTCAAGGGTTACTATTGATGTGCAAACTCTGTACTTCAAAGGCCTTACCACTGCCGATGGAAGTACGTAACAACAGATGTGACACTGATAGGGTTAACTTTTCCTAAGCCTTTTTATTCATTGTGATAAGACAGTATCGCTGCAGATGCTAGTTTACTGAATAAAATACTCTAATGCTATCTTACCCTAGTACATACAGCAATGCAAATTGGCCCATTAGACTTTAAGTTAATAATTCGAGTCTTATCGTCCTGCAACTAACCTGCCTGATAAAAGGAAACGTAGGGAAACAAACGTTCCAGCCAATATCGCATAATTGAGCCGTCACGCTAGGTAAGTTTGACCATCAACACTATATCAATGTAGCAACTATAGTCAGTTATAAATAGGTCTATAAATCGAATTGAAATAACTAAGATATTAACGAACTAACTGCATACACATAAAAGAAAAGACATACTAACTTAATTTCTCTTGGACATATAATTAAAAGTGATTCAATAAATTGAGTCCGAAACAAAATTTCATCTGGTTCTTCAGTTCTTAAAATGATAATATTCGCTTTTTTTCTCATTATTATGCAGACTTATAACATTTATGAAACTTTTAATGACTTCATAGTTGCATTACGGGTTTGTAAAGATAGATTGTTAAGTTACACATTTGAAATCATAAATCGATCAATGTTAGACTACTGTTAGAAAAAACCTGGAAGTACTGGAGGGCCGTTCCGTCCTGATATAGGACTTATCATCAGTGCACATCTACAACCCCTACACTTCCCAGAATTCGAACCCAGGACCTTCGGTCTCCTACCTAAACGCCTAACCTATTGAACACTGAGCCGTGAACAAGTTGAAGTTGGTGGACATTAACACCGTCAGGTACCGCCGGATCAGTGGTTCAGAGGTCAGGCGTTCTCACGCAAGACCGAAGGTCCTGAGTTCGAATCCTGCAAGGTGCAGGAGACGTGGACGTGCACTGTTGATGAGCCCTACACCAGGATGAAACAGCCGTCCACTGCTTCCAGGTTTATGACAGTGGTCTAACATTAATCGCGATTCATGATTTCAAATAACTTCATAGTTTTCATTCCATAATCAGAATTAAATTTAAATTCAAGCAACCTTCATAGATAGATATCATATTATTAGATTTTGATATATATATATATATATATATATATATACAAAAAAAATCCCCTTAACAAGTAATTTAGTTATCCCAATGGTAATCCAGCAATCTTATTTCTACCGAATGAAACTAATTTTAATAATAACAATAATAATAATCAACCACCAGTTGGTTTACTATTCATTGTACATGATCAGTTGGCACATTTGAATTTGATGAAATTTAAACATGGTAAGAAGACGAAGAAAAATTATATTAATAATAATAAAATGAAAAAATTCACCAATATCGACAATAACAACAATAACAATGTACAATCAACAACAACAACACCAACAACTGTTGGTCAACTAATCGGTGTATTCGATACAAATATACATGGAGTAATTTATGATAAGCAAAATAATATACGGTAAGTGAAGTGTTTTTGTAAATTCTTCTATTGTTATTGTAGGTGGGGGGGATACCTACACGCCTAACTAAGGTTGAAAAATGAAGATTTCCGTATTGCGAAGAAATCATTTGCCGACATGAGACTAAGGCTAATAAGTGTTTCAGGCTATTTGCATGAAGCTAGGCTGCATCTCTTGCTATCTTATGCTATATTATGTGTATACCGCATGTTATACTGCTGCTATATACAGCTGAAAGTTTTCTATGAGAACAGAGGCTCGTTGTGATGATCATTGTGGATGGCTTGGCATTACTGTTTGGCAAGTATATTGCTAACAGTCCGTATAAAAAAATGGTGAGCAGGGTGATTGAGGGCCATTGTGATTGGGTTTGTGTATTGTAAATCACCATTGCTAATAATAAAGAATTTGACAGTGATGTAAGCGGGAGGATGGGTTGAATTGGCCTGTTCATGTGGTGCATATTGGTTTGACACGATCATGGATCGGAACGAATCACTGTAAATGTACTAGAGTGTACATAAATGGTGTGAATGGTCCACTAGGGTATCAGGTCAGTCAGTAGGTTGCAACGTAGACCTTCGTACGTATGTACATAAGTTCAGGTTGCCATACCATATTAGCACAGAGACGCAAATGTCAAATCAAATCTCATAGTGATAGAGATAGTAGAGGTGTTAATGGTAATAAAGAAGACTAGGGTTCGAAGATGTTATTCAAGAAGTATAATTCAGTGAATTAAGTTTAGAAGGACAAAACTAGAGGTGCTGACGAATCCAGAAGATTATGGTTTGAGAAAGCACAACAAAGGATGCACTTACGCCATTGCAAACGATTTTGAGCCATGTCGTTCAAGGTCTTTAACCGTTGGTGACTTTCATCTCGCGGACCCCAACCAGGTAGCCTACATCTACTAACATGACTCAGTCCACTTGTCAGTGACTTTACGGATTTCTGCCAAGTTCTGGTTTGGCCGCCCCTTTCTTCCAACCTACTCCTACACTTCAAAACATAGCTCGTCGCGTCAGTCGTTGGTTAGCCATACGTAACACATATCCCAACCACCTCAACTAATGAAGTTTCACTACTGCATCTATTGGTTCGCTATCACTACCTAGTACTCGTTTCTTAACGACAGCACTGCTTACTCGGTTGTCCCACAATATACGAGCAATGCTTCGGAGACATCTATGATCGAATACTAGTAACCTACGAACATCTACTCTTAACGGCCATGTTTCGCATGCATATAGGAGAACGGAGCGAATTGCTGCGCAGTACACCCGTCCTTTAGTCAGCAAACGGATATATCGCCTACGCCATAAGTGACGCAGGTTGGCAAAAGCCAATCGAGCTTTCTGTATCCGTGCTGAGATTTCGTCAGTCACCAGGCTATCAGCGCTGATGAGACTCCCCAGATAAGTGAAGTGATCAACACGCTCGACTACTTCACTGCCTATCACTAGTTCAGGTGCCGATGCAACCCAATCTTGAAGCAACATTTTGCATTCCGACGGGGAAAACCGCATCCCGAACATGCTTGCATTGTTGCTTATGGTAGTCATTTCGCCCTAAGCTCTCACTCGAACAGTGGTGTTCGAGTAGAGTGCTTGTATAAGGTTAATGTACTTCTTTGGTACACCTTTCAATGACAGACACTGCCACAGAACCTAACGATCCACTGAGTCAAATGCTGCCTTAAGGTCCAGGAAAACAACTATTGTAGGACGCCTAAATGTGTCTGTGTTCCAGGACCTGTCGTAGTGTGAAAATGTGGTCTACACAGCCACGTCCAGGTCGAAAACCAGCCTGGTTTTGTCGAGTCTGCTCTTCACGAGCTTTCGTTAAGCGTCGAAGTATTATTGAGGCCAGTATTTTAGAAACTATGTTAGTTAGACTTATTCCCCTGTGATCGTCACAAGAAGACTTTTGTCCTTTCTTATAAATTGGGACAATCAGTGATTGAGACCACTCGGATGGGATTTAACGTCCAGTTCCCAGATTCTACCTAAGATCTCAGTCAACCTAGCTGCTAAAACTGGACCACCATCCTTAAATATCTCATGGGTCAGTCTATCAGGACCTGCAGCTCGCCCTCGCTTCAGATTTCCTAACGCTTGCTCAACTTCATAAAGCCTAGGGGGACTTTCGTCGATTTGCCATTCAGGATAACTGGAGATCGTGTGTAACCGAAGAAATATTGTTATTTCATGAATATTTTTAGTGTATATTATTTCACTATGAAGATATTCTTTTCTGTGTGACATAATATTAATTGAGTAATTCACTTCAAATTTCATCAGACGCTTTTGTTTAGTTAAATGCAATTTTAGTTACATTGAACTTTTCATCACATTACAATCGATTTCTGTAATAAGTAAAAAACAAACTATTCACTTACATTTTCAATGTTTATGTTCCAAATGCTTTAAAAAAAAAATAATAATTCATTCGTTAATGTTTAAAAAAGATAAAAATTATATTCAAAGATAGGTACAGTCGAAACCCCGTACCTTGATGTATGCAGAATTGCATGTGTGGTGAACTACTTCAGGTTGTTGTATATATATATATATATATATATATATATATATATATATATATATTAGCAAACTACCGCATCACCAGGGCAATCATTTTCGGAAAATCTATGGTTGATTAGACCACACACACATCGCTCAATAAAAATGAACAGATCAATCAATTCAATAAAAGGATACTAAACAGATAGAACAGAAATCAATCATAATTGCTATTTTATTACAACTAAGACCTGAACTATATGAAAATATAATATATATCGGAATCCAATAACAGTGAATATTGCTTTACTAAACAAATCTTCAAAACTCATTGAATAATCAAATGAACCTGTAAATAACTGATCAATAGGTTACAGTATTTCTCCAAAATATTTTGAGTTATTTGTCAGTCAATGAAAAACAACAAAAAGATTTCTCGACTTTCAGTACGCTGATGATTTGTATCTTATTGCAGAACCTCATTTCTAGGTACTAAGCAGACAGAAGTTAGTCGGAAAGTTTATGTATCTGGGCAGTTGTGTCAGTGCTGGTGTTGAAGTGGATGATGAGATCAATTCACTAGTAGTGAAAGCCAAAACTGCTCATGCCAATCCTGGCCACCGTTGATGCCTTCGTGGCGTTAGACGGGTCTACAGTGTATCCATGAGAGCAGTTTTGCTCCGTCTTTGTGAAACCTGTTCTCTCTGACCTCAAAATATTAGGAAGCCTCCTATATTTAGTCACCGTTGTATCCGAAAAATTGCTGAAATTCAGTGGGAACATGTAAGTAACGCAGAGGTTCGGCAACACGTGTTCGCGCACGACAACGAGCATTAAATTCGTACCACTGTCTTGAGACATCGACTTCCACTACTCGCGAACTGCACATCATGCAGCTTCGGCAACACTAGGACTGGTTAGTGTGAAGGTGGTCGGTGTATGACGTCGCATCACGATATGAAAGGTAGATGTAAAGGACTGACATTTATTAGTTCCTCTATGGTTGGGATGCTAGGTATGGTGCGACTTAGTGGATTGAGACGTTATTCTAGTAGCTCAAAATAGTAGCCATTGGTGGTCCTGCTATAAATTTCTTATTTTCATTTAAGCATGAGGAGCATCATAGCTGTAAGCATTCTTTCTGATTGCCACAGACTTGACTGAACTGATTCAATATTACTACATATATTTCGATCTCATGCACTAATTCTTATATACTTTCGCATTTCTCCCGCTACTCTTTCTCTATATAAAACCATATTATTATTATTCTGATGAAATAAACATATTAAACCCCACTTTACTTTAACTGATTTTTTTAACTTTCCAAGGTTATGAATGAATCAAATCAAATATTTATATGTCTTACTGCAAATATTTACGTTTCCGAGCATGGCGTTCTTGCGCTTCTGATAAAATTTCCGTATATTGAGGAACTACATTTCACACCAAGTAGAGGAAAATTGCTAATATTCCCGCTCTAAGTACTTAAAGCAACCAGGCACTAAGATTAGTCTTTACGCTGATAGTGCAGCACAAACATAAGTTCTAGGTGAACAAGTTTAATCGTTTTTATTTCATATTTCAATCATTTGATTGTAAGTTACTCACTATTCCGAAATACCTGAAATAATTCTAAGCACTAAAACAGTCACTTGATAGCTGAACCAAAGATATCACGTAAGAGTAGAGGTTACTATCCGTTCCACTTATCCGAGCATCAAAATCCACGGCCATTATTACTACATAAGAACGCCTAATTTTTCTGAAGAATGGAACGCTTTCTGTAAAAATCATCTTTAACCTCATCTAGGTTTTAGTCTGTCAGAGAATCAGCGGAGTCAACGAAGAGACTTTCTACTGGAATTCCACTCTAAGAGAGCTAATTCCTGCTTTTAAACTAAATCCTATGACTACACCAGCGTGGCCACAGGTAGTCGCAGCCAAATCTGTAAATAATCAGAGGGTAAATTACGAAGGTTGTTTGCTTTGACGTGATACCAAATGAACCACTTCACTGAGACCCTGATGTGCATCTCGGGTACAAAGTAAACATCAACGGTACAAGATTCGAAAGGGCCTTGCTAAGGAAGTCTTTTGTCCTATTCGACACAACATACGAACATGAAAAGCTTCAACCTGGAGTTTAGAGCGCAATTTCAGGATATCAAGTGTAACATTTCGTGTACTCAAGTCGTTAGCATTAGTCGCGCATGCTTGTAAAGTTATACGAGTAAAATCAATCATGGAGACAAGGGAGTTATTAAGAGCTAGAAAAAAGTTTTGATTATCAGCAAATCGTTCTCATGTGTTGTCACGGGTATGAGGGCGGATGCTACACCGTTGGAGTGTGTTTCTTGAGTGACGTGGTTGGAAAGTTGAGTTGGCGTTGCCCACAGTGACCCAAGAGCTCAAGTGACAAGCATTTGGTGTTGATCGCTCAGGGCTCTTCATGGGAAATTTTCGCATGCTTCAAAAGGCCTTACAATCGGAGATGGAAATCAGTGGAGCAAGGTGGAGCGTGGTAATTTTAGCGTTAACCTTCTCTAGCCCCTTCTTTCCTTGTGAAGTGTCTGCATTGCCGCTGATGCTGGTTGTCAAGGAAAACACCTTACTAATGTCGAAACCCTCTACAGTTAGTTAGTTAGTTTTAACGTTCTTCACTCGACTCGTCTAGCCTGGTAGGACCTCAAGTAACATGTGTTCTAGCCGATATAGCTCGGTTGGATCATCACGATAGACGAACTCGATCACCATATCAATTTAACAGCTACGATCAGTATCTAACGTCTTTTTATAAGCAAAAACTATTGAGAACTTTAAAAGCAACTGGTAACAACAGAAAGAACTTTCTTTAAACCACAATTTCAAAAAACATAACTACTCAACGTATTCAAACTTCGATGGTCTTTCTTTCAACATTGAATAAAAATACGACAACTTATCAAAAAAACCCACAAGACCCGCTATCTACAGTTGTTAACTAATTTTTATAAATTCAGCATTCTCGGATTCAATCTTAGTATTCTTGAATGTAGCTAACAACTCGACATACTACCCCATATTTTTTCCCATTTAATACAGCGGAGAAAACAGGAAACTATTAGCTAGAATTTTTAACGCATTTACCATAAGTAGTTTTATGAATTCGGCTTTTCAGTAATTTTTGTCTGTTACTGATTAAACTCAGTTGGCTAAACTGAACTCAGTACTTGTTCAGCTGACAAGTTTAAATCACTAAACGACTGATATTTTTATTGACACTGTACACCACGATAACTTTGACGATAACCGATGGAAAATATTCTTTTTTTATTCAGATTACAATATAATCCATACGAAGGTGTTCATTTTAAAGAACCATTGGATAAATGCACAAAACTGATCAAATGGAAATGGTCTGGTGAAACACACGTACACGCACCACCTTTTCAATCATTGATGATAAAATTAAATGATGTTATAACACTGAAAATTTATCAACGAAACAATATTTATCTTTATTTTCAAACAATGAAGATTAATTGCAAATTAAATCTTGTGAGTAAACAATTAAAATTACAATGGATAGACACAACACACAGAATAAAAAGTCCAAATAAATAATAAAATTAGCTTTTATTTTTGCAAGAGAATAATTCTGGACCAAATACTTTATATAAAAAATGATAATAGATTTTAAGTGAGAAAAGTAAAAAAAAAAAGATCACTAATTGCTATTTGCTTGTTAACTAAATGTTATTTTTTGTTATGGAATACAAAAATTACTGACTTTATTGCCATTTGCAATGCATATTATTTTGTGAACTTGACTTGTATCATTAGCTAACCACAAATTATTTTTAGTTCAAAGCAAAAAGACTTCAATGTCGAACAGAGTGAATCCTAGAAACACGAACGTTCTGTAACGTTTTCGCCTTGTGCAAATATCAGACAATCCACAGGATAACTAATAAACTGAACAATTACTAATCCATGGCAGTAAATACGAAAAAACTAAATGATTTATCTACAAATATTTGACTGTATTTATTTTTGGAGCGCTACTGGAGTCAAGCTAAGCAAGTGTAGTAAGTATTATTGTGAACATAAGTTAAAAGCAGAATCAATCAGCTGAAACTTGGAACTTGATATGTAAATACACCAGTCCAAGTTGCCATTCCACATTTTGGCAGAAAAATGAGGTAGTTGCTGACGGTACTCAGCCACGTCCTTCAAAGTCTATAGCCATCGATTAATATTATCTCCGGGACCCCAACCTGGCAGTCTCTATACCAACTAACATGGCTCGCGGACTCATGTAATATTTTGCTTTGACCACCTTGTTTACTTCCAACACACATCACAAAATGTCGTTCGTCGAGGTAGTCAGCGGCTGGGCACACGTAACCCATATGTCCTAGCCACCTCAGCTGATGAAAGTTCACTGCTTCATCAATTGATGGACACAGGTGAATTAACAACGAACACTACATCTGTATCTGGTACATTTGGAATGCACTACTTCAACAGTTACATCATTTAATTTGGTTGTTAATTGCCGGCTTAGGTTAACATCCATGAGGTAAATAAAGTGCTGGTAGAATAACCTGGCACAGTACATAAACAACTATCGATGAACCCAGATTGTTTAAAACCATTCAGATTTGACCACGCCACATTGTAAAAGTGGACTCACAAGGTTAAACCAGATTATTTACTGAAACTGCCGTTAGTTGACAGTACTTAAAAACTCATAAATAAAAATTTACCTTGCTGGCTGGGCTTTTTTTTATCTATCCCAAATTAACGTGTTATATATATGGTACCGCAAAGTCAGCTAACACACATTTGTGCAAGTCTCTAGTCTGTGACCAATGAACAATCAATATTCTCACTAGCCTCAATAAGCACTATTGCCTCGAAAAACGAACTTTTAAAAAGCGTTTTTTGAAAACTAGAAGCAATGTAAGTTGCAAGCACAGAAAACACAGAGAAATTTCACAGAATACCGACGTTGTCATTGACTCATGCAAATTTACCTGAAATACCATGGAACCTGAGTGAGTTAAAACGCAATAAACTGGTGTTTAGAGGAACTTATTTATTCTAGACACCTTATTACCAGCAGCTGGATAACGACTAGCTCCGTTTAGACAATTAAGTCCGCGTGATGAAGAAAATCGCTCAGTAGGACTGATTTACAGAGGCTGATAACAAGACTGACTTGTCTTCAAAATACGTACAGCTAGTACATTTCTTTTTGGAGGAAAACATCGTAATAAGAACCTAACCACTGGGACGTTTGCTCGAAAACAACATTTGCTTGTAAGTTTTGATGACCAATATAAATTTTATTCAATCATTATAGCGACCGGGGTTAGTCTATTTTTATCACTACGGAATAATCTTGAAAACGCCGAACATTGGTTTGACAGATAGTTTCGTCCATTTACTCTATTCACAGAATACTCCTATAAAACCAAATATTTAAATGTGAATTGGAGCCAGAATTAGAATTTAGCAAACCAGACATTACTTCAACTAAGAAAAACTATCATTACATGTCGATTACAATAACCGGTAATTCGAGGTTGTATACGAAATAATAATTCGTCAGCATGGCCACATAACTGAAAATCCATTTTCGATGTCAACCACTGTAAATATCGAGCAAAATATTCAGAATGGCAACGCATCCACATTAGATATGCTATTAGCTGGAACCGATTTCAGGTACTTCAAACTGAAAGGACAATAACTCTACCTAAGATAAATGGTTTTGTTCTATTTACGAAATGGTATGTCTAGTTTTAGAATCACCTAATGCCGAGTTTAAGTTCACTACAAATAAGAGCAAACATAAATTGATAAATCAACATTGAGATTTGTTTATGGAATATGAAAAAAAAACATATTCCTAATTCAAAGCATATTTGTGGGTGGATCCACTGGAAGAAACTTTAGTTAGCTAGTTAGTTAGTTAGTTCGTTATAATCTAATCATAGTTACGACCTCAAACTACACTAAATAGAACATTACATACGTAACGTTCAGATGACTAAATTTTCATCTAAATCATTGGACATCTACTTATAAGTTGAAATTAAAAATTTATACAGTTAGGTATTTGTATTCTTGTTATCAGTGTTAATTAATTACTAAACATGATCACCTGTAGTTGAGAACTGAAAATGCCTTTTAACAGAGAGAGTAGCAAGTGTAATAATGAAATCGGACGACTGAGATTCACAATGCGCAAATTCTGTTTTTATTGTCCAATTCAGCATCCTAATGAAAGTTGAAGAATCAGTAACGCTTAAAATGCGATAAAAGAGGTGCGTTTGATGGAAAAATAGAACACATAAATTAGTGACCAGATATCCAGCAAGAAAAATTGAAACTGACTTAGCTAGGAACAAAAATCAAATGTATAAGTGGGCTCAAAGTTTGGGACCAGTTACAGAAAATCAACAATGTCATTAGGCATCTCCACAATACTTGTGTTGAAATATCGTTGCAAATCACTTAGAGCTTCCATTTCTGAATCGATGACAAAGTTGATAGCTATGCCTTTTCTACCAAAACGACCTCCTCTGCCGATTCTATATGAGTAAAGAATATATCACATAATAAGAACAAACCTGTGGATGTAAGTCTCACGATTACTGGGTAGGTCATAGTTAAGGACAAGGGAAACTTGCTGTACATCAATACCACGAGCCAGAACGTCAGTGGACACCAAAATTCTTGATTGCCCACTACGAAATTGCTCCATAACAGCATCACGTTTTTCCTGTTCCATGTCACTATTCTAAAGGATAGTTTTTAGTAGGTTAAATCTAGCAAATTACAATACACGAAACTTGGAAATTTCTGTGTACAAGATCATCATAAAGCTGTGTAGCTTTTCGTACAGAGTTAACGAAAATAACAACTTGACTTAAACTCAGTACTTTATACAGGTCCAATAATGTTTCGAATTTGTACTCTTCTTTAAACACTCTAATGAAGAACTGGTTGATACCATCCAATGTTAATTCTTCATTCTTAACAAGTATTATAACAGGATTGTGCATTATACTCCGTGCAATAGCAAGTATTGATTTCGGCATAGTAGCGGATAGAAGCAAGATCTAATACTTAATGAAATTATACATGTATTTACTTGAGCGGTTTCAGGTAAAAATCTATATATTTCTTTTATCTGGGGCTCGAAACCACGATCCAACATGTGGTCAGCTTCATCCAAAACAAAGATTTTGATATTGGCGGTCGCCAGAGTATTGCGATTCATCATGTCAAAAACACGACCAGGAGTACCCACAACAACATGCTGACCCTGCTGGAGGCATGCCATATCTTGTGAAGTCTTTGTCCCTCCAATACAACCATGGCATCTGACATTCAAATAGCAACCAATGCGTTGCACAACCTGAAATTTTTTATTAAGGACAAAGTTATTACCGTCTGGATTTGTTTTGCAAGTTCTCTAGTTGGCGCAAGAACGAGGGCTTGACATGAGTTCAATGACATATCTATTCTTTCTAAAATGGTGATGGTGAACGTTGCCGTTTTTCCCGTGCCAGACTGAGCTTGAGCGATGACATCACGACCTTCAATGGACGGCTTGATAGCTCGCTGTTGAATGGCTGATGGCTTTTCATAACCATAACCATATATACCACGAAGTAGCTCTGGTTTTAAGTTCAACTTTTCGAAGTCATCGACTATTTCATGATAATTTGTTTCGATCTCAGATTCTTCTACAGAATTACTGAAATTTTTGTTGAAATCAAAATATAAATGAAATAAAATTCTGGGGGAAATTTAACAAGAACTGAGAACTCTGTATAGTTACATCATCAAAAACTATTGTTAAACCCGTGATTAGTTTCTAGGTGTTTTTAAAATAATAGTATTGGATCTAGCATCCAATGCTTGCACATCTTTCAATCATACTCTTTAAGACACGAATATACGGATACACCTAGTCTACTGAAACTAATGCACTTAGTTAATTACTGAATAACAATTTAAATATTTAAATTATTTTAGTGGAATTCGGAGAAACAATTTTGGTATCAGGCGCTTCTAAACTCAACCAACAAGTTTCATTATCGAGACTAGACCTAACTTCTACTGCTTGAGCAGTCTGGCATTATCACGAACTCTAACCCTTCGCTTGTAGACAAACACAAATAGGTACCGGTTTAATGTCATTTTCAGGCCCATCCAGGATGCTATAAAATGTCCATTTTAGTTGAACGCAGAACACGTCAATCTATCTGACATGCACTACAGTAGCTATCACCTTGATGCGATGATCGGGTTTGCCTATCGTAATGATTCAACCAAGCTATATTGGTTAGAACACGTATTATTTAGCTTCTACTAGGCTAAACGAGTCAAGTAGAGAACGGCAAACCTAAAAGCTGCAGATTAAGGTCTGCGGGCGCAGTCGTACTGCCAGCTGTAGAGGATATGGACAGCAGTAAGGTGTTTTCCTTGACAACTAGCACCAGAGGCAATGCTGTCTTTTCACAAGGAAGGGGCTAGAAAAGGTTGACACTAAAAACACCACGCCTCTCACCCCATGGATTTCCGTCCACGGTCGTAAGGCCTTTTGAAGTAGTTAGTCAGTTACAACGTTGAACTTTGTTCTTACATACATCAGCTCATGTTGCCATTCCACATTAGCACAGAGATGCAATTGTCACTTCAAATCCCATGGTAGTAGAGGAACTAGGAGTATTAGCAGTAATCAGAGATTAGGGTTCGAAGATATCATTTAAGAAGTTGAATCTACTGAAAGAAACTTAAGAAAAAGATAAAGGTGATCAGAAATTCAGAAGATTAGGATATGAGAGAATACAAAGAGTGGATGCACCTGCGCCATTCCAAACGGTTTCCAGCCATGTCATTCAAGGTCTCTAACCATCGATTACTATCATCTCGCGGATACCAACCAGGTAGTCGACACCTACCAACATGACTGCCGTGTTTTGGTTAGGCCGCCCCTATCTCTCTTCCAATCTATTCCTACACCACAAAACAAAGCTCGTCGTGGCAGTCGGTCGTTGGGAATACGTAACACATCCCAACCACCTCAACTGATGAAGTTTCAATACTTAATCTATTGACCTGCCATCCCTGTCTAGTACTCGTTTCCTAACGAATGCATAGCTTACTCGGTTGAAAAATGATACACGAGCAATGCTACTACAATTGAGTAACAGTGACCTACGAGTATCTTTTACTCTGACTGGCGATGTTAGGCATCCACTTAGTAGAACGGAGCAATCTGCTGCGCAGTAGACTCGACCTGTCAGCAAATGGATATCTCGCCTACGCCATTAGTGACGTAAGTTAGCAAAAGCCAATCGAACCTTCGGTATTTATGATGAAATTTCGTCAGTCACCAGGAAATCAGCACTGACAAGACTCCTGAGATAAGTAAAGTAGTCAACACGCTCAACTACTTCACTTCCTATCACTTGTTCCGGTGCTGATGCAACCCAATCTTGAGGCAACATTTTGCATTTCGACGGGGAAAACCCGAACTTGCTTGCATTGTTGTTTAGTGTAGTCATAAGACTGCACTTTTTCAGCATATTCATCAAGCAGAACTATGTTATCGACATATTTAAAGTCAACAAGCGAATCTCCTGGAAGGTCTACTGCTAAAAATCAAGACGAAAATAACGTTATATCTAGAAGCAAGCCTATGACACGCAGCTAACGGTTCAAAAACACAAAGAGCCGTGGGCGATCAATCACAAGCACTAGTCCCTTGAGCTCCGTGGTCATGCTATCTGGTCGCCAAGATAAACGCCAACTCAACTTTCCAAACACGTCACTCAAGAAATACCCTCCAACGGTGTAACATCCGCCTTCATGCCCCTGACGACACACGAAGACGACTTCCTGACAATCAAAACCTTTCTCTACCTCTTAATAACTCTCTTGTCTCTATGATTGACCCGGCTTGTATAACTTTACCAGCTCGCGCGACTAATGCTAACGATTTGAGTACGCAAAATGTTACACTTGAAATTGCGCTCTAAACTACAGGTTGAAGCCTTTTATGTTCGGATGTTGTGTCGAATAGGACATCAGGCTTCCTCAGCTAAGGCTATCGGCCACCGATGGAGAGGTTTTATAGAAGACTGTCACTCGTTCTGAAGCATATGTTTAGACTCAAGTCATTCATTACTGTGAGCACGTATTTGTCTGCGTCTAACTAGGCGTAAGAAGCACAGCAAGGAACCCACAAGTGTTCTACTTAACGGTACTTCATTTTAGGAGTAACTAGAAAAACGGTTAGACAACCATATAAGTGATGCTCGCTACGCTTTTCACCAATTAGAGCAAAACTTTGCGATGTTTCTACCCTTAATACTTAACGCAACTAGGGTATAACGTTAGTCCTGATACTGCAGCACATACACGAGCTCTAGGTGAACAAGCTCATTCAGCTGTTCCCTATTTCACCTTTCAATAATTTAATTAAGTTACTCACTTTTTAAAAAAACATGAGATAATTCAAAGCACTAAAACGGTTACTCGATAGCTAACAAGTAGGATTATTGTATTATTTGACTCAAAGGTATCACCCGTATATCGTGAAGTAGCCGAGAGAGCAGGCTTTTGTTGATCCTAGAAGTACATACCAGTGAAATAAATTTAAGGGGTCAAAGTGGTTGGGACATGTATATCGTGTCTCCAACCATCGACTACCTCGAAGAGTGATGTTTTGTGGTGTAGCAGTAGGCTGGAAGAAAAATAGGAGACCAAACCAAACTGACATGATTTAGTGGAGCCACTGAGAACTATGCTGAATCATGTTAGTAGGTGTAGACTACCTGTTCGAGGTGCTTGAAGCAATCGTAACCGGTGGTTAGAGATTCTGAATGACACGACTCAAAATCGCATGCAACAGAGCACATGCATCCACTCTTTGTCTTCTCCCAAACTCTAATCTTCTAAATTCCTCCTGACCTTTTACTCTATAAATTCATTTCACTGGGATAAACTGCATTCATATATTCGATCCTTAATCTTTTCGACTATCGATAATACGTCGACTACTAAAAGATTTGAACTGACAATCTAATTTTTCTGTGATAATGTATTATGGCAACTAGGACTGTTGTATGTGGGTATCAAGTTCCACTTTGTAGCTGAGTGACTAACAAGCACATAATCTAATGATTTCGATTGTCTTGATTTTAGCTAAATGACCAAAGGGAATTGCAAGTATGTACTAGGAATTCAGTCAGTTATTGGTTTACATAAAATTGTTGGGACATATTTAGTCCAACAGAACTAATAAATTAGAGAAATTTATTTCCTCAGTATTAACTTGATATGATGCACTCCAGATATAGTTAGGAAGATAGGTATAACAGTTGACAAAAGAATCTTTATAACACCCATGACTCGAATCTAACGAAGAAACTGAGAAATGGAATTATTCAATAATGCGCTCAAGTCAGTCAGTCAGCTACAAAGTGGAACTTGATACCCACATACAACAGTCCTAGTTGCCATAATACATTATCACAGAAAAATTAGATTATCAGTTCAAATCTTTTAGTAGTCGACGTATTAGCGATAGTCGAAAAGATTAAGGATCGAATATATGAATGCAGTTTATCCCAGTGAAATGAATTTATAGAGTAAAAGGTCAGGAGGAATTTAGAAGATTAGAGTTTGGGAGAAGACAAAGAGTGGATGCATGTGCTCTGTTGCATGCGATTTTGAGTCGTGTCATTCAGAATCTCTAACCACCGGTTACGATTGCTTCAAGCACCTCGAACAGGTAGTCTACACTTACTAACATGATGCAGTATAATTCTCAATGACAAAGGACTCATATCAAACTCAAATTTAAAAACCAGTTTAGGTAAAATAGGATTAATTTATTGCGTCAGAAGCAAAAATTAGTGTGATGTGATGTCGAACAGTAATAATATCAAAAGATACATTTCAGTCAAGCCAATGACAATCAGAAAGAGCAAATTCAGTCACGGTGTTCAAGTTTGAGTGAAAACAAAGAAAGGTCATAGCAGGACAACCGGTCTTACATTATAATGCACGATAACGTCTCAAGTGGCTAAATTGCAACATATCTAGCACCCCAAAGTCGTGAGGGTTCAACAAATGCCACTCGATAATTGACGCCGGACTTGTATATAATACCAAGTGGTTAAGAACAGAATAGCCCATTTTACTACTTTCGAATAAATGCCTGAATATATCAATTGGAAGTCTGCATTTTTAACCGACAAATTCGAGACAGGACGGCCGACATATAAACGGTCAATTCATCATCAATAGCAAACATTTGATTAATCTAGTCAATTATCGATCGACGGTCAAAATCAGAATAATTGAAACTTGTCAGGTTGAAAATCTCGTTGTAATCCACATAATCTGACAATGTTAGGTTTATTAGGAACACACTTCTGTGGACTGAATTTTTCACACACTTGTGAGTAATTTAAATGGAGTGAATTTAAAAATATGAACTGACAAAGAACTAAACATAATTTTCAAAGGAAATCGCAGATCACTAACGGACCTCATAACAAACCAGTTAGCGTGACTGAAACCCAAAGCGCGCTCTTCCGGATGTGAAATCGATTGGAGACAACACCTGACTAAACAAAATTTTAAAGTGATACACATACATAGCAAGTCATTTTATCTTTTATTCTATCTTCTTCAGCTTGTTTCTAGACTTTTTTTCCCTATGATCTGCGTACTCAACACTGAAAACCTATGAATATCATTTTGTATTGTATTATATTCATATCTGGTAAGAGTTTTTCCCAGTCTGCACTAACAGGAAAAAGACCAAAACTATCCATTTCAAGTAGGCACTTATACTATATCCGAATGTCACACAGTTTCTCACATTTTTATAGATGCTATGTACGACAGAATAGTTAAAACATCGATAAATAAGGTCATAAATGGTGTAGGATTCAATATGTATACATTGATTGTCTATTTAGCCATAACATTAATAAAGCAGTCTGTTAATGTTTCAAACTCAATGACGAATTGTCACACTTGGACAATGAGGATTCATTTCCTTGTGATGTAGATATAACAAGCATCATACATTCTAGGATTAGTTTCAAAATAATGTGGCGGATGGATATTCTGCTGCCAGTTTCGTTTCCATTTTTATGCAACCGCTATTTATTTCGAAAGCAAGTGACAATATAAATCCAGCTCGAATACGTTTAATTTAAGTGGTAATCCTAAACTAATTTTGTTTTAGTCCGTGTCCATTTTCCTCCACTATAATTCAATTGTTTCTAATAGTGTTTTATTTTGGGTTAGTGGAGATTGTTGAGTTTCACTGAAATCGTAGACCGATCAATTTAAGACTATCACTGGTCACCTTGAAGCCCTGGATAGCAGCATCGCAGGTATGTAAAATCCATTTTGAAGGCTTTGTTTTGGGAAAATCCCTCCATGTACATATTCGTAATATGTTCTTACTGACTCTTTCTGTGCCACATTTTGTTACTTCGTTTAATCCCATTTGTATTTTGTTATAGTTTCTATTTTTGTACCTTCATTGGAGTTCTATGTTTTCTACCGAACTGTATTGTGTCGTTTAAATTTATACTTAATTATAGCCGTATCGGATTTCATATCCTCATAGGTGAAACGTATGTCTGGACTGGAACGGTGTAATTTTGGACCTAAACGGAAGCATTCATCCAGAATTGGGAACACATTGTGTTGATTTGGAGGTAGAACAGTATAATATTGTTTAGGTATTGATTTGTAAATTTTAATTAATAATAGAACCGTTACTTACCCAGATAAATTGCTTTCTTTCTAGATTAACTGGAAAAGACGCGTATCTAAACTTCTAGAACTGTTCTTCCGAATTCAGAAACCTCTCTAAAATCTTATAGGTATACTTTTCCAAACAGCTAGAAGGACCGCAAAACATCTGAGAATGATGAAATACGTTCTAATAGCTTCATGTAATATTATCAGTCAATCATAATTACAGTGTTCTATAAAGTTATTGTAAAGGAAACCGCAAATCATTTGTGGAAATACTAGTTGCCAGTAGATGATCAAACAAGCAGCTGAAATAGATTGTCGTAAACAGTTATTCTGAAATTATGCCAGATTTACTAAATAAATGGTGCTAGCCACTTTCGCTATAATAGACATCAACTATCTAAGGATATTCGGCCGACCATCAACTCTACATTACGTTATAACTTATTGAAAAATAGTTCTCCCGCTTCAGCTAACTAGTCAAGAAGTTTAATATTACGTCACTTCTGTATAGGATTAAATGAACTTTCCATCTTAAGCAACAAAGCCTTCTGAGTTTGCCTTTGGTTAGTCTCTGTACGAAATACTATGCCATTGGTTCTGTCAGATAGCAATGTACGCTTCTGATCATCATTTCTATCTATACACTATGACAAATGCAGTTCTCGGATGACAGTGTTTTTATGAGTTGTCTATTTTAATGATAATTAAGAGATTAAATCCCGAATATCTTATTTGCTTCAACAGCAATGCTAAGTGTGTTTCGTTTTGTACCTTCCAAAATATTTCTTTATTACCCTTCATAATAAGTATTCCCGTTAACGTCAATAAAGTGATGGATGTGGTGTTTTTCCATATCCTAAGGAATACAAAAGCTTCAATTCCTGTTGGCTAAATAAAATCTATATAAAATCTATAAAAATATATAGATTTACTAACCCATCGGTAATTATTTCATTTGTGCTAGGAAGGATCCAAGTCTTCATTTCCAGTAATAATTTGCTTCTAACAAGACAACTACATGCGATCTTCACAACTATGATAAATAATACACAGCTGTTCATAAACAGGTTATTATCATATTTGCGGTATTATATGATTACTTTGATACACTTGAAAGTTTTTAATCGCTGCTGTTAACAGAGATACATCATCTAAGTATTTATGTAATGGAATAGATAGGTACATATATGGTTTTCATAGTGAATTGAGCAGAAGGAGCTTGCTATCAGCCTTGACCATGACGGAGATATAAGTTCAAACTGTTGTCAAGGCATAGGCAGAAGCTCACTAGTTGTGTGTTGGAATGTGGAGCCTAAAAATCGATAGCAAAAAGACGAAGCTCACGAGCACGATGTGCAACTGTGCCGATGGCTATAACGTAGCCTATCCCTCCACACCACGATGGCTGTTTGCATTTCTAGGTTGACCCGACAGTTACACCTTACGTCCACCAAGTCACCACGCCTGATGGCTGCGAAATTTAGGAACCGGGAAGACCTGACTGAAACACTCCAAGCTTGGTATAGTTCGAGGAACGATCTGTCTAGCCACATCAGGTGTTGCGAGAGCCAACCTACATCTGTGAGAAACAGCAGGGAGGCCACAATGAACGCACAAAACTGACAGTTAACCTCGGTCAACTACCCCTGACACAAGACACGACTGAACTCAATGCACAGGCAAAAAACCTGCAGATGACAGTTCCCATAGAACTGGCCAACTCGGTTTGAATAACTTGTCTGAAAATCCAACAACGGCTGCTGCTGCAGAAGTGCACCAGGTTCTGAGACAAACCACCAAGTGCCTCTATAGCAACGTAAGAGGACTAATGGGTAGGCTGTTAGAAATCAGGAATACGTGCTCTCAGATGGATCTGAAGATCATAATCCTAACTGAAACATGGATGCCCCCTGACATTGCAGACGAGGAAGTGAGCTTACCAAGCATGATCCTCTTCCAAAGAGATAGGGAACACCAAACTGGAGGTGGAGTGTCCACATACATAAATAGCCGCTTAAAAGCACAGCGCCTATACGACAGCCAGCTAACTGAGGTGACAGAACCATGTTAGTGTTGTTTCCACTCGAATGGCACGAAATACTTGATTGGAGGGGTCTACCGACCTTCTTCAGGTACTAAGGCCCAGATAAGCAAACTGATTGAGGTTGTACTGCAACTGCTACTCCTGGGGTTTGAACAAATACTCTTAGCTGGAGATTTCAATACCCCATCTTTAAATCTCAACAATCAGAGTATAAGTTTAACTGGCTGGTTCCAAAGACGAATTGGGGCAGCCATTAGAAGCTCTGGGCTAACTGAGCACGTATGCAGTGCCACTAGATGGACTAAAGAGGGAAAGTCCTCAAACTGGATTATCTGTTATAAATGACCAGCTCCTGGTTGAGGATGTAGGATCTATTTTGAAGGCTTTGTTTTTGGAAAATCCCCCCATGTATATATATTTGTGTTATGATCGTACTGACTCTTCTGATCGATATTTTGGTACTTTATTTGATCCCATTTTGAGATTCTATCATTTGTATCTTGTTATTATTTCTATATCTTGTACTTGTATTGAAATTACGCTGTTTCCTTCTGAACTATATATATGTTGTTTAAATCTGATATTTAATATGGCTACAGCCATATTCGGATTTGATACTCTAGCAGTAACTGACTGGAAGCACTTATTCTTCCAGTAACGGAACCTGTTGTGGTGATTAGAAACTCGAAGGTGTAATATTGTTTTGGTAATTGTCTGAATTTCGTTTTTTGATTAAATATAGAACCTTTCTTTCCCAGAATTATCGTTTTTGGACTTGGACTGGGTGATACGCGTATGGAACTACACTTTTCGGGTTTGGAGCGTACTGCAAGAGTAAATTACTAACTCAATATGCAGTCTGGATGGTACATTTCGTGCATGTCGATGTTCGTTTTGAAATCTATGGGAAAAAACCTATTGCGTTCGGACCACAACTGTTATCCTATGTAGTGTATGAAAAAAGAGAATACAGACAATACAGATTGAATAAGTGTACTTGCTAGCGATTTCATGGTGTCTAGAGAATTCCAAAATGTTCCAGGTGCTTTAGCGAAGTTATACCACAGCAAAAGTAAGTTTGCAACTGATGAGTAAGAAAGTGCGTTACAAAAGTAGGGATAAACGAAATGTTCCGTAAAATTCCACAAATACAATGGGTTATAAATGTTAATGTTTCTATTCCAACAGAATGAACAGAGTGTTATTCGTATGCTCTCCGGGTAATTACATTGGATGAAACGCTCCGACATTTGACAGTCTCATCATATGATTTGTTTAAAATTGATACTTATTATGGCTACAGCCATATTCGGATTTGATACTCTAGCAGTAACTGACTGGTAGCACTTATTCTTCCAGTAACGGAACCTATTGTGATGATTGGAAACTCGAAGGTGTAATATTGTTTTGGTAATTGTCTGAATTTCGTTTTTTGATTAAATATAGAACCTTTCTTTCCCAGAATTATCGTTTTTGGACTTGGACTGGGCGAGATGCGTGTGAACCTACACCTTTCGGTTTCAGAGCGGACTGCGAAAGTAATATTATCTTACAGAGGATGTTCACGTGCAAAAGGATTCCGATCGCAGTTCTTACTTGGCATTGAGAAACAGATGCAATGCCAAAGTTCCAAGTGACAGGAGACAATTTCAGATGAAGCTAGCAGCGAAAATAGAGGACAACCCGAAACATCTGTTTAGTTTCATGTCCAACAAAACCCACTAATTAAGGTTTGTGTTATCTCAAAGGTCTGAAAGGGGAAGACCTCACCAACCTAGAGATGGTCGAGATATTCAAAACTAACTTTACTGAGCAGTTAATCCAAGCATCCACATGTTCAGAGTACTACGCCGACCTATTGCTAGCTGACGGCTTAGGGAATATCCGTATCAATCCTGACCTAGAATTAAGGAAACTAAAATACTTACGCCCAGGCAAGTCACCAAGTTGTGACAAAATTCGCCCCATAGTCTTGTAACAATGTGCAGAAGTACTCTGTTCACCGATATGTGACCTGTTCAGGCATTCACTGGAGTCACACCAATTCCCAGCTGAATGGAAACAAGCTACTCTCTCTCCAATCTTCAAAGGAAGAGATAGAAATGACCTAGCCTGTTACGGATTTGTCACGTTACTACCAATATTATCAAAGGTTATGGAAGGGATAGTGGATGAACAAATGGGGGAGTACATGGATAAGAATAAAATACTCCATGAAGCTCAACATGGGTTTCGGAAAGGCAGGTCGTGTGCACCTAATCTTCTCATCGCATGGGACAGTTGGACATCCTGTTTGGAGGTCCATTAGAAACGAAGAGAATTCGACTGAGCTTCAAAAGGGACCGTACATCTATTGAGAAAAGGGCAGTGAAAAACGGTTTAAAACTCAACCAACCGAAGTGCCACGTCAAGCATTTCCTGCCGCACATGACGCAAACGATCTACATCCTCAATGGAAGTCCACCTCCTAATGTGTCCTCAGAGCGCGATCTCGGTTTAATAACCATAGAAAGCCTTTACACGAGTCCAAACTATGTAGGGGATGCAGCCAAGGCAAATGCGACTCTTCACCTAATTCGAAGACAACTTGGTGCTATCACACCGCAATTATTTTTAACCCTATTTAAGACGTACGCGCGCCCAAACCTGGAGGTTCACAACGTCACCACACCCCATCTGTTTTAAAAAGACATAAATCCATTGGGATTATTTCCACTGAGCTGAAGGAGAATCAGAGTCGATCGGATTATGGCGTACAACATAGTAAGCACTCCAAACCATCCCAGTGTGAGCATCTTACCGATGCATCACCACCACTCCCATCGAGGCAATCCTCGAAAGATTGCACATCGAGGAGCAAATACTCAGATTCGTGCACACTTCTCATTGCAAGTCGTCACAACTTGGAATGCTTTCCCACCCGAGGTGACCACAGCCCCCTCAGTAGATAGCTTTAAGTAGAGATTTGGTAATCACGTACTCACATACGGATTATCATCTCCCTCTTGGACAAGCTGTTCCTGATGCATATCTTGATACCTGCTAGTTGTTATCATTGCCATCTCCTCAGATCGCTAACTGAATCTATCTCGCCTCTCATCTCTTTTCCCACTTCCTTGCTTACACTACGGTCCTCTCTCACAATCTTCACTACCAATTAACAAACTAAATTCATCTATATATTACTCAGTTCTGAAATTTTATTCATATTTGCATTAGAATTTTATCCTTTTTATTCTCCACATTGCAACTAACGGACCTCAGGTCTGGCAATGTGATAGCTGCTGGTATCCAGAAACCCTACTGCCCTGAAACAAACGTTTTCATTCAAATCCCGAGACATACAAACTCACTAACAACTGCCAACTGACTAGAATTAGAGAGTCGAGTGGCTAGACCTCCATCCATTGTACATTACCGAACACCTAGAACCGTACCGTAAGAACAAGAATCGAGCGCGAAGAAATCAAATTGGTTTACACTAGCTCGTAAAAAAGATATTGGATATTGGACCTATTGTATACGCGGCCTGTTTTTAAGGAGTGTTACAATGACTCTTTCCGTGAAGCAGTATGTCTTGATCTTTGGGATGCTTTTTTCTGGCACTATAAACACAATTTCCAAGAAGGTTCAGCTTGACTGCATGTTAGTTTACTCAGAAATATGCCTAATATTTTGAATAGTGCAAATGGCTACTTCAATCACTCAGCAAATAATACGCGTTCTCCACACTATTTCTACAAACCATGGTTTCAGACCTTACTTATGTTTTTTGGGGAGGCTTTCTGCATTATTGCTTTTATGGCAATGAGAATTAGAAAAAAAAGACGTCTCGCATCATATAATTACAGTACTAGCCTCATGGAACCAAGAGGTCGAAGCCTAGTAAACACACCGTGAGTCGATCATTTAATTGTTGTTCATGTACAGTGTTTTTAATTGGATTTTTATATTGCCAACGTGCTGTGATCTGCTTGGTTCGACATTGGCAGGTATACATCTTGTAATTATCCAACTGTTAGGTATTGGTCTTCTGTATATCGATGCATCTATCTGGCAAATGTTACGTGGGTCACTTATAGTATTTGCTGGTATTCTTTCCGTACGTTTCGTTCTTGAGATTAATTTCATTCTTACCAACTTTGATAAACTTTCGTTTTTTCCTCAAGGCATCAATTTGTTTATGCAACGGTTGATAAATTTAAAAGCTAGCGCGTTTCTTATATTTGATATTTTCATAGTACAAGTGACTTTTCAATAGTGTTTCTGTATTTACTGAATAATCCATCTGCATTGGTTCTCGGAAACATGAAGATCAGAAGTTTAAAAAATTTTCCACTTCATAGCTGTAAACCCCTTTGTTCATGCTTTATGGTACATCCACTATATTACTGTGTATAACATATACAACTTATAGTGCGAAAAAAAACCATGCAGCCCGACATATGTTTTTAACTAATAAGCTAGCAAACTGCGTAGTGGACATACCTATTTCATCGATTAAAATGCCTTAGAACGTTTGTAAATACTATTTATCTTTATGCCACATGTTAATTAGGAATTCACACTGAAATAGACTTTCAGTGGTTGCATAAAAAAATACCGGGACTGTTCAGTGCATTATTAAAGTTTCAGTCAAAAATAAGGAATTATACAAAGTATAATTGTAAATACAAAATCCAAAAGCTCAATATGTAATTTTTACATGGTTGTTCTTAACTTATGGTGATGTACGGATAGGCTAATTCATAGTTAGTTTATTAGTAACCATTCTTGTGATGTAAATTAGCCAGATTTCAGTTGATTCAATATGTGAAATACAGTAAACTGGACTAATTGACTTATGAATATAGAGTTTCAGTACAATATAGCATTTATTAACGGCACTACATTTTAGTTACATTTTCCTAATGTTGACAGGTTTAGTCAATTTTATAAAAGGCTATCTCATAACTAGATGTCTGTTGTGACTCGGACTTTTTCGACCTTCAAAATTATTAAATAAATTTTACAATCAATATATAGAAATTATTTGTTTTAATAGCTCTAATTGAAAGTGACATCCATGTCCTTAAACTAAGGCTCTTTTTCTTCGATGCTAGTTGTATTTCTATAGGATACTATACAATTAAAAGATTAGTTTCATTAAGTTAATATAATATAGTAAAGTAAGTCAGGAAATCTGTAAGAATAGTAAATTTTCAATAACTCAACAACTCAGCTTGTCACATGAGCATCATTAACCTCAGCAATTTTTTGACTGGTGAAATCTCATTATGGACATAAAATGTACTTTAAATGTGATCAACTCGTGTCTTTGGTGATAAGTTTAGTGTCTGACTTCTTAGCAAGGGGTAAGTATGGTGTATCGGTTTACTTCTCATTTTAATTTCAGAGAAAACTGATATGAAACCCTAACAGTTCAAATGTTTCAAGATCAAATAACCAAATAGTATGAAGTAAGATAGGAACAGGTATTATCATAAAGGTATATTTGATATCTTCAACAATCAGTACATTCACGTGTATACAAAAAGCGATTTTCTTATTAGAATATGCTTGCTATGTAAGTCAAGTTACATTCAGTTGCTCAAGAATTGAACTGAGTACCGTGTAGTTTTAATCGCATAGTAGTTCATAAGATCTTATTGTTAAGGATCTTCAATTAAATCAATCAATCAAGTTGTTTTAGTCTCCAATAAAGTTGGTATAACTAGTTCAAATACACGTGGTCAATGTATTGATGACTCTCATTTTCGAACCTCATATAATGTGTTAAAATTTGATCGACAATATTGCTTGAATCAGGCACATAAATGCGTACTTAGTAAATAGTTTACATTCTTATTATTTGTTATTATTATTATTATAGAAAGTGAGGCTGTGAAAACTAGTAATAATTTTTATTATACAAAATACTACCTTCGACCCTAATTGTGTTTTTGCGAATGTTCAGAAATAGTTTGGAAGACTTGTATCGTATATTAAACCTCACTACTTTTATTCCTTCAGGTTATCTTTCTCAAACGGCGTTTACGTTACTTTCAATGGACTGGAATTTTGATCACTGTGTTTGGATTAGCTCTTGTTGGTTCAAAGTCAGTATTCAGTAAAAATTCAGTCAAAACAACTACTTTACAATCAGTAATAGGTATAGTAGTTAATTTATTTGTGTTGTAATCTTATTTTATTGTCTATCGTATCTTTTTATGTAACAAGAGATAATTTCAGTGTGTAACGCGCCAGTAAAACCGTTGATGCATATCATATGAGCTGTTACAATGTGTCCATGTTGAATATTATTGTCTAACTAATTAATGTGATGTACAATTGAATAACAGATAATGACTAATTTATTCGCACTTATTAGTAAGTATATCAATGATAATGAGTTTAGAAAAGAGATGCTGTTATGTCAATAGCGCTTTTCATCAACATACCCAAAAGTTTACATAATTAGGAATTAGTTTAAGTATCAAAAGTAACTAAAAAGCCAAAAATGTAGTCAGTCAGGTAGAGTAATATACAACACAGAACCCGGCATATAGGCAAATCGGTTCAAGTTGTTACATTATAGTAGTGCATGCACCGATGCTCTGTTTTGGTTTAGTCACCCATAGCCTCCTTGTAATCTACTCTTACACCGGACAGCATTTCCCGTTAACGTAGGCTGTAGTTCGACATACGTAATATATATCTCAGCCACCTCAATCGGTGGACATCCAAAACCTTATCGACGGATTCGCCATCCTTACCTAGTACTCTATACATAACCTCAGGACTTCCCACTCACTGCTCCTAGCACACACGAGCAATGATTCAAAGATACGCATAGCCTAATAACGGTAACCTTAGAAAACCCTCTATTTTGAATGGCCATTGCTTACATCAGTAAAGCGACAAAGAGTGAAGTGATGCTCAGTAAACTCATCTCGGTTGGTAGATTGATAACTTGGCAAAGGCCAGTCAAACTTTCCGAATTTGTGCGGAGATTCCGTCAGATATTGACTCATCAGGTCCGAGAATACTTCCAAGATGAGTGGAGTGGTCTACGTGTTCAACTACTTCACTCTCTATCATTAATTTAAGCGTTGGTGTAGACTAATCTTGAAGCAAAAATTTGCATTTCGAGAGACAGGATCGGATCCCAAACACGCTTGTATTATTACTCAAGGCAATCAGAAGACTGCGCTTTGTCAAGGTCTTCGCTAAGAAGAAATGTGTCATTTGTGTATTCTAATTCAGCAAGTGAACCTTTCTGTATGAAATCGATTTTTAAAAAGTCAGACTATGAGAACATTGTCTCTCTAAAAGGACATTTATGACGAAGTTAAATAAAATTGAAGAAAGCCAAAACTAATATTGTTGTTCTCAAAGATCTTTGACGTTAATTTTTCGAAGTCTGCTGTTAAACTTTGCTTGAGATTACCTATAACATTGTCAACCCCACTTAACGTTGAAAGACTCGTATTCATTTCCCGTTTAGCTTTGTAAAATTTGGTTTGTGTGTAAATGAACTTTTTGAATAAGCCTCTATACTATCACACGTAGAGTCTCAAAACGGCTATAGTCAAAACAGTTAGCTAAATATATGACCAAAACATAAATTAATACAATCAGTACAAAAACGCAAAATAGTATGATCAGTTATAAAGGGAACAATGAACACACGCCTATCGAAGAGTAGCAGGGACACAACAAAATGAATCAATGAGTTATGCATGTCTTTATAAAAAAACTGGTAGAATTCGGTAGTTGTTAGTCCAGTAAAAAAGGTACGAATAATAATCAGGCTGAAATTGAGTGAGCATTAAGTGGTAGGCGTTTAACTGGAACACAGTATATTCACTTTTATTGATCAAAATTAATAGGTTGTTTGAAGGTATTGAATAACTAAAGGTTGGCTAAAAACGAGCTAAACTTGTCTCTTAATTGTTTTGCCCATCGGTTCAATCTCCTGGACTGAGATCGAATGCCAGTTCTGTCTTTTCCTGGACTTATGATACCTATCTCTCTGATGAGTCCGAATGGATTCCTACTGTTACCCATCATCTCTACCGTTTCCATCTCTTTTAATTAATCTGTCCACTACAGTTCACGGTCATTACTTTTTGTCACCCTGGATTTTAGCTGTGTTCGTTCCCAATTTAGTACAAAAGCCCGATATGATAAGTTTTCAAGCATTTATAGTTTCAGTAGATTCTACCAAAATCTACTAACGTTTATGATCTTTTCGTTTAAATTACTGGTAAGTCTCGCTTCTGTCTTCACAACTGTCTGGACATCATGCTAAGCTATCTTACAGTCGATATCATTTTTATAGTTCAACAAATGTTTCTGTCGTTGTCTCTGAAATATATTCTTGACTATTTCGTCGTCGAACTGAATTCGAATCGGTCTTTTAGTTGTGGATTTTCTCTGTTGAAAAAAAAACGCAACCGGATATGTGCTGTCACTGAATCATAGTCAGAGTCGAGACATTTGCTCGAGGATGATCGGCAGTTTTTTGTTGAGCCTACCCTAATGGTGGTTGTTAGCAGTATGGTTTGTTTGGGACCATAATTGAGTCGATTTTGGAGGGTCTCCATCTTAGACAGTACCTTTATTTGTACTTGTTAGAGTAACGGTTATCTGAGCATAGTTAGGACATTTAGGTCATTCATTCCTGCTCTCTGAACTGAGATACTACAGTAAAACCCACACAAGCACCTTTTAGTTTGTCTCAGACTACTAAATAATAATTTTCTTAACTCCTTTCCATAATGAGAAAACACCATCGCTGCAAATACTAGTTATTTAAAGAAAACTAACTTACTATTGTCATATTTTTCATACAGTGAACAGTACAATTTCGACCATGTATGATGAAATAAAGCTCATTGATCAATTTAAAAAACAAAAGAAGCCTTTATGTTGTATATAAATTTTTATTTTTTTATTCACAAAAAAAAATCACTTAGTATACTACTCATAATGCCATGGAAATAACTACTGATTTTTCGAAGTCTGTTTGTACGACTGTTTGAAACCTATAATTGTCTTGTTTAGTTTTAGTAGGAACATTGAAATTAGTGAATATATAATCTTGTTTTGTGTAGTTTCATTTAGATAATATCGATATCATATACATAATTTTCAGTTCTCACTGTAAACATAAGGTTTTAATTGATTTCAGGCGATTAATTTTTGGGGTTCATTATCACTATTATTCAGTTAGTCAGCTGCAACGTAGAACTTCGTACGTAAGTACATCAGTTCATGTCGCCATACCACATCAGCACAGAGATGTAATTGTCAATTCAAATCCAATAGTAGAAGAGGTAGTAAAGGTATCAGAAGTAATCGAAGAGGTTAGGATTAGAAGATATTATTCAAGAAGTATGATTCAGTTAGAAAAGTTTAGAAAGTCAAAACTAGAGGTGTTGAAGAAGCCAAAAGATCAGGATTTGAGAGAACACACATTCAAGGTCTCTAACCATCGATTATTATCATCTCGCGGACCCCAACCAGGTAGTCGACAATTACCGACATGGCTCAGTCCACTCGTCAATGACTTGATGGATTTCTGCCATGTTTTGGTTTGGCCGCCCCTAACTTTCTTCCAACCTACTCCTACACTACAAAACAAAGCTCGTCGAGGCAGTCGGTGGTTAGGCATTCGTAACACATGTCCCAACCACATCAACTGATGAAGTCTCACCACTTCATCTATTGATCTTCCATTCTTACCTAGCACCCGTTTCCTAATAACAGTGTTGCTCAATCGGTTGTCCTACGATATACGAGCAATGCTTCGAAGACACCTATGATCGAAAACCAGTAACCTACGAATATCTTCTACTCTCACTGGCCATGTTTCACAGCCATAAAGATCACTATTATTATTATTATTATTATTATTATTACTATTATTATTATTATGGGCCTCGATTCAGGCGTTTTTATAAAATTATTCTGTATACACAGCCACTTTCTTTTTCTATTTTTTTTTAAAAAAAAATAGGACTGACATTAGTTCTGGCTGGTTCATTGACTTCTGCTGCACAAATGGTAATCGAAGAGATATTTCTGAAAAAACGTGGTTTCCATCCTTTACAAGCTGTTGGTATGGAAGGAATTTTTGGATGCATCTTAATGTGTGGTGTAGGTTGATTTCTACTTTTATTAAATTTTTAGTTCACCTATGTCTGACTTCGTAATATATATAACATAATAACAGATTATGTAGGGCAAGCAATAATATGCCGAGAATTCTATATCGTACTAAACACAGTGGAGAATAAAGGCCATTATTATTACTGTTATTCATGACAATGAAAGGTTGTGTAACGTCTACAGAATATGCGAAAATAAGCGCATACAATTGATTATCTAACAATGGATTATAATAAAAATGACAGACAGAATTTGTTTGAGACCGATTTAGTCTTGTGTGCTGTTACCGGTATGAGGGTGGTTGTCACTTTCCGGTTGCCTACACCGTGGAAGCGTGTTTCTTGAGGAACCTGAAAAGGAAGGTAGATTAGTGTTGGTCTGAACGACCTGGGAGCGCGACCGCAGAGCTCAAGGAACAACTGCTTGAGGCCGCTCACGCACGGCCTTTTTATGAAAGGTTTTTTGAGTATTAGCTCAGCTCTTAGAAGGCCTTATTGGGTAGCCCTTACCGACGGATACGGAAATCCGTGAGGCGTGACATTTTTAGGGTCGACATTTTCTAACCCTTCCTTCTTTGTGACAAGGCAGCATTGCTGCAGATGCTGGTTGTCCGAGAGAAACACCTTACTGCTGTCACACCCCCCTACAGTCAGCAGTACGACTTCGCCCTCAGACCTTGAGTAGCTGCTTTTAGTCTCATTGTTCTCCAATCGACCTGTCTGACATGGTAGAACCTACAGAAACTATATGTTCTAGCCAATATAGCTCGTTTGGGTCATCACGATAGTCAAGCCCGACCACCACGTCAAGGTAGCAGCTTCGGTCGGGAAAGCGTGTGTCGGAGGTGCGATTCGAACCCACGCCCACATCGTGGACCAGAACACCCATAAGACTACTACTCTTGAGTCTGGCGCCTTAGACCGCTCGGCCACTCCGACGTTAATTACATAGAATTCAATCTTTTCTTGTGTGTTTTAAGTTATTACAATGTTGTTTAATGAAATATTATATATTTGTATACTTTACATTATTATTATTATTATTATTATTATTATTATCATTATTATTATTATAGATTGTACTTCCAATTGTACATTTTATTCCTGGCAATGATTTAAATGGATCATATGAAAATGTGATCGATGCAATTTATCAAATTGGAAATAATTATATTCTCTTAGGAAATTGTATCTTATACATATTTTCTATTGCAATATTTAATTATTGTGGTCTGTCGATTGCTCGAAGTCTTAGTTGTAAGTTTGATATTTCAACCGGTTCCACTGTCTTGTTCATCTCTACCTCTCTCTCTCGCTTTCTCTTGTATTTGATGTATGAAAAACATTGTATGATCATTTAGATAATGGGATACAGGTGATATTCATGAAACTAATAATAATAATAATAATACGTAGAAAGGTTAATCGTTCTCGCGCGCAAGACCCGAACGTCCTGGGTTCGAACCCTGCGATTCGCAGGAGTTGTGTGGGTGTGCGCATTGCTGATGAGTCCCCTATACCAGGACCAAAACGGTTGTCCTATGCTTCCAGGTTTCTAATGGCTGTTTGATAATGATTTATTTATGATTTCAATGTTCAGAAAAAATAATACAGAAGTTAAATTTGTAGTAGTGTAATGAAGGAGAACACAGGTGGGGCAACCGAATTGTATTTAACGAAAATTACAGAGTTACTCAGTAAAATCGGAAAACCATATTGTAAATCGTTCGTTAATTTGCAAAATATCAGTTCATCATATCGAACTGGACTGTTCCTGTTGCAAACAACATCAATCCATTGTCACTATTCATGCGTTTCATACAAATTCCATTGTGTTCCCACTCTTCTTCCTTTCTTGATCTTCCCCCATCTTCTGCTGCCAGACATTACGTTGACACTCACGTCATATACTACTTATAAGTAGCTCGCACCACAGCACCACAGTAGTACCAATATAGTTTAATAGATTTGTTAAGTAATGTAATTTATTAATTATATAAAGTTTTATACACTATCCGGAGAATTACACACAGTATTATTATTATTATACATTAGATAATAAAGAATTTACGAAATTTACAATCAAAATTCATCGTATGGGAGTTAATCAGTCAATTATCTATAATATAGAATCTGATATTTGTGTACATCGATTGAAGTAGTCAAAATTCATTAGCTGATATGCTCGCCAATTGATATACTTGTTATGTTATGTTATTACGAGTTCAGCTTACTCGGTAAACGGAACAAAGGTCAATAATAATACAGTGACACTATATAGGCTATTTTAATCCATTGTCCCAGGCCCTACTTGATAAGGCGTAAAGAGTGTATTCTACAAGCACCCAGAAAATACGAGGTCAATAAGCACACAAATTCAGCTTATTTATGCAATGATAGAAACGTCCTTGGGAGAGCCACAAAAATAGCTTACTAAAATAATACATCAACCAATGACGGTTAAGGATTTTCCGATTGGGAAACGTAACCTGTAGTTAGTCAACTAAGCTTCTCTCATAAAAATTCAAAATTTCAGAAATACATTACAAAATTAGGATCTTTTCTAAGTGAGTTCTATGGACTTAACGTCCTCAACATTAGCACAAAGAAATGACGTAGTCATATTATATCCTACAGTGTTAGTGATAATAATTGTATTCATAGTAATTGAAAGAATGAAGAGCATCAAAGATAGGACTCGAAATTATATTGGAATTATAAAGAAATCTACATGGTAATTTAAGAACTTAAAATCTAACAATTAAACAAGACCATAAATGATTTATCTTTGATTTATCACCTCCTCTATTCTGTGTGCGATCTTCCTGTTTTTTACTGGACATTTGGAAACAACTCTAACTTATTTTCTCTAGAATTATAGAGAAATTCCCCTCTCTTTCCCGTTAGATATGAGTTACTAATCTGTAGTACAGTGTTCATTAAGTCATTTTGCGTTTTTTTTTCGAGAACGTGATTAATATTTCGACTTTTGATTTCACCATAGGGGTTCT